CGGTTGCAGCTAGCTAGTTGCGATGATCCGGTTAATTGTCCAGGCTAGAGCTGGCTGGGAGGTAGTGCAGGCCACGGACAATGGTGAAGACCGCTAACGGTGGCTAATAGCAAGTAGCTAGTTAGCTGGCTAGTTTCAGCCGGAGGTTCTAGATAAGAAGGTATAAAGAAATAATAGAATCTGTTCCACATTGGGTGAGGCGTGTTGCAGGAATGTATATATAGTTAAAGGATGGAAAGTGAGATTGAGAAATATATGCGAAAAAGACACACGACCGCACTGCTACGCCATCTTGGATCAATAATATGTTGGTAACCGGTTTATAAAAGCAATAAGGCGTAGTTGGTTAAAATATGTTTAATAATCTACATTTATCAATCTGACTCCAATTTAATATAAAGGTTTATAGACACATTATTTTAGCAAGAACCCTGTTCATGACTAACGGGTCTAGCCAGGAAGCGAGCTTGGGCATCACCAGACTTAGCACTAAAATTAACACGTGTTTAAAATGAACCGTTATGCAATTAACAAGGCTAGACACAAAGAGCTGTTCTAGCATGAAATTAATTGAGTCAGTCTTAAGCAAAGGTGTCAAGTTGGTACCTCAAGAATACAATGTGTGTGTAATTAACTTAATGAATAAGAATTTACCAATTCTAATTTATGAAAGTAGTCAATCAGAGATATTTATGAATGAGGAATGCCTGCAGAGCTCTATCATACTATCCAGGGCGGGAGGTAGCTTAGTGGTTAAGAGCGTTGTGCCAGTAACCGAAAGGTCGCTGGTTCTAATCCCCGAGCCGACTAGGTGAAAAATCTGTCGATGTGCCCTTGAGCAAGGCACTTAACTCTAATTGCTCCTGTAAGTCGCTCTGGATAAGAGCGTCTGCTAAATGACCAATTATTATTATTATCCAGGTCTGTGCCCAAACAGTTTGAGCTTCTACTTCTAAAAATCCACCTTTCCAGAAATAAGTCTCACTGTTGCCGCTTGCTACAGACCCCCCTCAGCCCCCAGCTGTGCCCTGGACACCATATGTGAATTGATTGCCCCCCATTTATCCTCAGAGTTCGTACTGCTTGGTGACCTAAATTGGGATATGCTTAACACCCCGGCCATCCTACAATCCAAACTAGATGCCCTCAATCTCACACAAATTATCAACGAACCTACCAGGAACAACCCTAAATCCGTAAACATGGGTACCCTCATAGATATCATCCTGACTAACTTACCCTCTAAATACACCTCTGCTGTCTTCAACCAGGATCTCAGTGATCACTGCCTTATTGCCTGCGTCCATAACGGGTCCGCGGTCAAACGACCACCCCTCATCACTGTCAAACGCTCCCTAAAACACTTTAGCGAGCAGGCCTTCCTAATTGACCTGGCCCAGGTATCCTGGATGGATATAGATCTCATTCCGTCAGTAGAGGATGCCTGGTTGTTCTTTAAAAGTGCTTTCCTCTCAATCTTAAATAAACACGCCCCATAAAAAAAATACAGAACTAAGAACAGATATAGCCCCTGGTTCTCCTCAGACTTGACTGCCCTTGACCAGCACAAAAACATCCTGTGGCGTACTGCATTAGCATCAAATAGCCCCCGCGATATGCAACTTTTCAGGGAAGTTAGGAACCAATATACACAAGCAGTCAGGAAAGCAAAGGCTAACTTTTTCAAACAGAAATTTGCATCCTGTAGCACTAACTCCAAAAAGTTTTGGGACACTGTAAAGTCCATGGAGAATAAGAGCACTTCCTCCCAGCTGCCCACTGCACTGAGGCTAGAAAACACTATCACCACCGATAAATCTACAATAATCGAGAATTTCAACAAGCATTTTGCTACGGCTGGCCATGCTTTCCACCTGGCTACCACTACCCCGGCCACCAACTCTGCACCCTCCGCTGCAACTTGCCCATGCCCCCCCCGCTTCTCCTTCACACAAATTCAAACAGCTGATGTTCTGAAAGAGCTGCAAAATCTGGACCCCTACAAATCAGCTGGGCTAGACAATCTGGACCCTTTCTTTCTAAAACTAGCCGCCGAAATTGTCGCAACCCCTATTACTAGCCTGTTCAACCTCTCTTTCGTAACGTCTGAGATCCCCAGAGATTGGAAAGCTGCCGCGGTCATCCCCCTCTTCAAAGGGGGTGACACTCTAGATCCAAACTGTTACAGACCTATATCCATCCTGCCCTGCCTTTCTAAAGTATTTGAAAGCCAGATTAACAAACAGATCACCGACCATTTTGAATCCCACCGTACCTTCTCCGCTATGCAATCCGGTTTCCGAGCTGGTCATGGGTGCACTTCAGCCACGCTCAAGGTCCTAAACGATTTTATAACCGCGATCGATAATAGACAGTACTGTGCAGCCGTCTTCATCGACCTGGCCAAGGCTTTCGACTCTGTCAACCACCGCATTCTTATTGGCAGACTAAATAGCCTTGGTTTCTCAAATGACTGCCTCGCCTGGTTCACCAACTACTTCTCAGATATAGTTCAATGTGTCAAATCGGAGGGCCTCTTGTCTGGACCTCTGGCAGTCTCTATGGGGGTGCCACAGGGTTCAATTATTGGGCCGACTCTTTTCTCCGTGTATATCAATGATGTCGCTCTTGCTGCTGGTGACTCTCAGATCCACCTCTACGCAGACGACACCATTTTGTATACATCTGGCCCTTCATTGGACACTGTGTTAACAAACCTCCAAACGAGCTTCAATGCCATACAACACTCCTTCAGTAGCCTCCAACTGCTCTTAAACACTAGTAAAACTAAATGCATGCTCTTCAATCGAACGCTGCTGGCACCCGCCCACCCGACTAGAATCACTACTCTCGACGGGTCTGACCTAGAGTATGTGGACAACTACAAATACCTAGGTGTCTGGTTAGACTGTAAACTCTCCTTCCAGACTCACATTAAGAATCTCCAATCCAAAGTTAAATCTAGAATCGGCTTCCTATTTCGCAACAAAGCCTCCTTCACTCATGCTGCCAAACATGCCCTCGTAAAACTGACTATCCTACCGATCCTTGACTTCGGCGATGTCATTTACAAAATAGCCTCCAACACTCTACTCAGCAAATTGGATGTAGTCTATCACAGTGCCATCCGTTTTGTCTCCAAAGCCCCATACACTACCCACCACTGTGACCTGTACGCTCTTGTTGGCCGGTCCTCACTACATGTTCGTCGTCAAACCCACTGGCTCCAGGCCATCTATAAATCACTGCTAGGCAAATCCCCGCCTTATCTTAGCTCATTGGTCACCATAGCAGCACCCACCCGTAGTCTGCGCTCCAGCAGGTATATCTCACTGGTCATCCCCAAAGCCAACACCTCCTTTGGCCGCCATTCCTTCCAGTTCTCTGCTGCCAATGACTGGAACGAACTGCAAAAATCTCTGAAGCTGGAGACTCTTATCTCCCTCACTAACTGTAAGCATCAGTTGTCAGAGCACCTTACCGATCACTGCACCTGTACACAGCCCATCTGAAATTAGCCCACCCAACTACCTCATCCCTATATTGTTATTTATTTTGCTATTTTGCACCCCAGTATCTCTATTTGCACATCATCTCTTGCACTTCTAGCATTCCAGTGTTAATACTAATTGTAATTATTTTGCACTATAGCCTATTTATTGCCTTACCTCCATAACTTGCTAAATGTGCACACACTGTATATATATTTTCTGTTGTATTTTTTTTTTTGACTTCTTGTTTTTTTCCCCATATGTAACTCTGTGTTGTTGTTTTTATCGCACTGCTTTGCTTTATCTTGGCCAGGTCGCAGTTGTAAATGAGAACTTGTTCTCAACTGGCTTACCTGGTTAAATAAAGGTGAAATAAAAAATAAAATAAAAAAATGCAGTCACTCAAATCAACTAATAGATGTATTAGTCACGAATAAATGAACACTCAAACAATAACAGTGTACATGGAAGACATGATACAGCATAAAACAGAGTAAGTTACTCTCAACGAATAAGACGCAACGTGGTTACACGTGTCTTCAGAATCTATAGAATCTATGTGTTTCTGTACACACAAGGGCTTGCAAATAAGGTCTCAATTAACGAAAGTAGACACAGTCCTTTTAACTATGAGAAACGGAACTCAACCAGCCCTTGGCCATATACCACACCCCCTCGTCCCTTATTGCTTAAGTATAGCCCAGGAGGTGCTTACATGGCAGCCATGGAGCTATGTGATGTAATTCTCAAGGGTTCATGATGTTTAGTGGTTGAAACATCAATTGCCAACCTGTCTTTATTTCTGTACACTGAATATACCAAACATTAGGAACACCTTCCTAATATTGAGTTGCCCCCCACCCCTCCCCCCTTTGCCCTCAGAACAGCCTAAATTCGTTGGGGCATGGACTCTACAAGGTGTCGATAGCGTTCCACAGGGATGCTTGCCCATGTTGACTCCAATGCTTCCCATGGTTGTGTCAAGTTGTCTAGATGTCCTTTGGGTGGTGGACCATTCTTGATACACACAGGAAACTGTTGAGCGTGAAAAACCCAGCAGCGTTGCAGTTCTTGACACAAACTGGTGCGCCTGGCACCGACTACCATACCCCGTTCAAAGGCACTTAAAATATTTTGTCTTTCCCATTCACCCTCTCAATGGCACACATACACAATCATTGTCTCAATTGTCTCAAGGCTTAAAAATCCTTCTTTAACCTGTTTCCTCCCCTTCATCTGGATTCACCTGGTCAGTTTATGTCATGGAAGAGCAGGTGTTCTTAATGTAAAGTATACTCAGTGTAGTTCTAGTGCTGTATCTGCTGCACTACATTACCCATGTATGTATCCCTGCTGTTGATGCTTTTGATACTGACACACCTATCTACTGTACACTGTTAACCCCTCTTCCTGTTCTCGTGTGTGTGTGTGTGCGTGCGTGCATTCTTGCATGTGTGCGTGCATGCGTGTGTGTGGTGCGTTGGTGTGCGTGTGTGGTGTGTGTGTGTGTGTGTAGGTGGGAAAGGAGACTGTTCAGACCACAGAGGACCAGGTGATGAAGAGAGACATGCCTCCCGCCTTCATAAAGTGAGTCACGCCTCTTACCTTGACCTCTGATCTACTCCTGACCCCCTAACCTCTAACCCTTTAACTCTCGGGACTGATTTCTAGGGGTTTGCAGTGTGCACTCTTCAGCCAATCAGCAGCATTCATTGATCAGTAAAGTACCAGAGAGAAACACAAAAACCAGCAGGACGGGGGGACTGGAGGGCTGAGGTTTACACCCCATGTCAAATCAAACTAGATTAATTCTAACAATGTCTAATTGTATTATTTTATACCATCCCTTTTAGCCTTGGTAGCCTTCCTTTTCGGAGGACTTCTGTCTTTTATAGTTTATAGATGGTTTAGTAATGATGCCCTTCTCTTGTGTCAGTGAGTGATGTTGCTCTCTTCTCCGCCCATCTGGTCTTTTTGTCTCTGTGTCTGTTTCTGTCTCTCTCTCTCTCATCGGTGGAGGAAATAATAATGATAATTCGTTTTAGGTTTGCTTAGCAGGATGTGAACTCTGTCTGTCTGTTGGTGATGTAATTTAATAACGACAGGGCTGACTGGACTGTCTGTTTTGCCTGAGAATGCTCTGCCCAGAGGTGTATACTGTAGCTGTGCTCTGTGTTCTGCTGTCAGTCTATCAGTATGTCAGTTCTGCTGTGTGGTTCTGTCTGTATGTCTGTCTGTCCAGAACTCTGCTGTGGGGTTCTGCTGACTATCTGATCTGCTCTGCTACGCTCAGTGTCCAGAGGAGAGTGGTGTGGCTCTAAGGATTAGACTCTGACTCTGTTACTCAGCAGTTCTGCTGCTACCTCTCTCTCTCTCTTTCACTCTCGTTCTCTTCTCTCTCCTGGTGACTGCTGTAGGAGTGAAGTTTTTAGATCTCTTCACATGAGAAGTCCACAGCGCAGTCCCACGCAGACACACACACACACACAAACTGGCACTGCATCATAAATATCATACTCAAGGCTCAGCAGGGGTTATGAGGGAATGTGAACCCTGCTATATTTAGTTCTCTTGGCAGAAAATTGATACTCTGGCCAATGAGGGCTCAACTCATTGATACCCTAACCAATGAGGTCACAGGAAGGCCCTGTTCCAATAGTCTTAAAATCCTCCCTCCCTCCCTCCCTCCCTCCCTACCTTTCTTCAACCCTTACTTTATTCCTTCTTTCCTCCTTTCATTGTTTCCTTCCTTCCTTCTGTCCTTCCTTCTCTGGATAGAGCTGGGCTGTCAATAATAATACATGTTCTATGTCCAGTACTGTAGCTAAATTGTTCTAAGCTGTATCTATGTTCTGTGTTCTAACAGGGTGGAGAACACATGTTCTAAGCTGGTTCTATGGTCTATGTTCTAACAGGATGGAGAATGTGTGTGTTCTAAGCTGGTTCTATGGTCTGTGTTCTAACAGGGTGGAGAATGCGTGTTCTAAGCTGGTGCAGGCGGCTCAGATGTTGAAGGCGGATCCCTACTCGGTTCCTGCCAGAGACTACCTCATTGACGGTTCTAGAGGAATCCTGTCTGGAACCTCAGACCTGCTGCTCACTTTCGACGAAGCTGAGGTAGGGCTGTGTGTGTGTGTGTGTGTGTGTGTGTGTGTGTGTGGCGGCAGCAGTGTAATACGCATTACACTGTTTCATCACCAGCTGCCCTGCTACTGAACGACAGCAACTCCCCTCGATCACAAGACCTACATCACAAGACACACACACGCACGCACACACACGCAGGGTTCAAAAGGACAGACATACGTACTTAAAAGCAGTACTTCTGTTGTGGCACTGTATTCACAATCACAAGCAACAACATCCTTTAAGTCAAACTGTGTCCTGATTCTCAACCCTTCTCCTAAAGTGTGCACTTGCACACTCCCATTCATGGATTTATAAACATTGGATTTGTGTAAGCATTGGCTGGAGGGAGTTTTCACCATTGTTAAATCCATGTCCATGAAGAAATCAATGGAGAATCGGTCAAAGTGAAGAGGTCCTATTATACTAAAAACATGTAAAGTGTTGGTCCCATGTTTCATGAGCTGAAATAAAAGATCCCAGAAATGTTCCATACGCACAAAAAGCTTATTTGTCTCAAATGTTGTGCACAAATTTGTTTAGATCCCTGTTAGTGAGCATTTCTCCTTTGCCAAGATAATCCACCTGACAGATGTGGCATACCAAGAAGCTGATTAAACAGCATGATCATTACACAGGTGCACCTTGTGCTGAGGACAATAAAAGATCACTCTAAAATGTGCAGTTTTGTCACACAACACAGTGCCACAGATGTCTCAAGTTTTGAGGGAGCGTGCAATTGGCATGCTACCTGCAGGAATGTCCATCAGAGCCGTTGCCAGAGAATTGAATGTCAGTTTCTCTACCATAAGCCCCCTCCAACGTCGTTTTAGGGAATTTGGCAGTACATCCAACCGGCCTCACAACCGCAGACCATGTGTAACCACGCCAGCCCAGGATCTCAACATCCAGCTTCTTCACCTGTGGGATTGTCTGAGACCAGCCACCCGGACAGCTGATGAAACAGTGTGTTTGCACAACCGAAGAATTTCTGCACAAACTGTCTCAGGGAAGCTCATCTGTGTACTCGTCCTCACCAGGGTCTTGACCTGACTGCAGTTTGGCATCTTAACTGACTTCAGTGGGCAAATGCTCACCTTCGATGGCCACTGGCATGCTGGAGAAGTGTGCTCTTCACGGATGAATCCTGGTTTCAACTGTACGGGGCATCGTGTGGGCATCGTGTGGGGGCGAGCGGTTTGCTGATGTCAACGTTGTGAACAGTGTGGCATAAGCTACGGACAATGAACACAATTGCATTTTATCGATGGCCATTTGAATGCACAGAGATAACGTGACGAGATCCTGAGGCCCATTGTCGTGCCATTCATCCGCCGCCATCACCTCATGTTTCAGCATGATAATGCACGGCCCCATGTCGCAAGGGTCTGTACACAATTCCTGGAAGCTGAAAATGTCCCAGTTCTTCCATGGCCTGCATACTCACCAGACATGTCACCATCCATTGAGCATGTTTGGGATGCTCTGGACCGACGTGTACAACAGCGTGTTCCAGTTCCCGCCAATATCCAGCAACTTTGCGCAGCCATTGAAGAGGAATGGGACAACATTCCACAGGCCACAATCAACAGCCTGATTAACTCTATGCGAAGGAGATTTGTTGCGCTGCATGAGGCAGATACTGACTGGTTTTCTGATCCATGCCACTACTTTTTTTTAAAGGTATCTGTGACCAACAGATGCATATTTGTATTCCCAGTCATGTGAAATCCATAGATTAGGGCCTAATACATTTATTTAAATTGACTGATTTCCTTATATTAACTGTAACTCAGTAAAATCTTTGAAATTGTTGCATGTTGCGTTAATATTTTTGTTGGTCAGTCCTGTTAGGTATGCTGTGGTGTCACACAATTAGATGGGTTAAGGGTTAGAGCCAGGGGGTGAGAGATAAGGTCAGGGTTATGGTAGCCTCTGCCGATACCCCAACAACCGGACACTTTTGGACGTTAACAAGGCGACACTCCCTCTTAACTCCTCCTCCACATTTACTGGATTGGTTGAATAACGCAGAAGAGAATCTCCCCCGACAGTTCTTTTCATCGCATGAAGACCAGTATGTAGGGTATCTAGTTTCAGGCGTTTATTTTACGCATGCTATGTTATGTTAGGGTCATGGTTAAGAGTTGCTGTACCTTAACTAGATGCTATCTGTTGTGTGCATGTAAGCTCATCCAAGTGTGTGTGCGGTCGGGTGTGTGTGTGTTTTTATTTTTTCAGGTGCGTAAGATCATCCGTGTGTGTAAGGGGATCCTGGAGTATTTGACGGTAGCTGAGGTGGTGGAGACCATGGAGGACCTGATCACCTACACCAAGAACCTAGGACCAGGTAACCTCACCTGTAGGCTCTGACCCTTAACCTCTGACCTGACCTCTAAACCTGATCACCTATATCAAGAAACTGAGACCAGGTAACCTCACCTTAAACCTCTGACCCATAACCTCTGACCTCTAACCCAGCGGTTCACAACCTTTTCTGTACTGGTAACCACCAAATCACCGTAAAAAATGAGGACCCCCATTCGTGGAGTCACAGAATTGTCTAAAATAAAGTATTTTCACGGTCAAATTTAGGGTATTTTTTCTCAGTGAATGTAATAGATTATAGGCCTATTATTATTATTATTATTAACAATTTGCATTGTGAAAAGTAACGTAAAAGTAACGTTAAATTGCTTAGAATACCATGAATACTGTTATTAATTTAGAAAGAAAACAAATCTTGACAAAATAAAAACAAATCTTTAAAGAAATGTGGACCACCTGCAGTACCAGAACATAGGTTGAAAACCACTGCTCTAACCTGACATCTAACCCTGATCACCTACACTAAGAACCTGGGACCAGGTAACCTCTGACCATGAAGATAATTGGTTCAGGATATTTTTCACTCTGTGTTGTGAATGGCTAACAGGTATGACTAAGATGTCTAAGATGATTGAGGAGCGACAGCAGGAGTTGACCCATCAGGAACACAGACAGATGCTATTCAACTCCCTGAACACTGTCAAACAACTACTGCCTGTACTCATATCAGGTCTGTCGGTCTCTCTCTCTCTCTCTCTCTCTCTCTCTCTCTCTCTCTCTCTCTCTATCTCTCTCTATCTCTCTCTCTCAATTCAATTCAATTCAATTTAAGGGCTTTATTGGCATGGGAAACGTGTGTTAACATTGCCAAAGCAAGTGAAGTAGATAGTAAACAAAAGTGAAATAAACAATAAATATTAACAGTAAACATTACACTCAGAAGTTTCAAAAGAATAAAGACATTTCAAATGTCATATTATGTATATATACAGTGTTGTAACAATGTGCAAATAGTTAAAGTACAAATGGGAAAATAAATAAACATAAATATGGGTTGTATTTACAATGGTGTTTGTTCTTCACTGGTTGCCCTTTTCTTGTGGCAACAGGTCACAAATCTTGCAGCTGTGATGGCACACTGTGGTTTTCACCCAGTAGATAAGGGAGTTTATCAAAATTGGGTTTGTTTTCGAATTCTTTGTGGATCGCTGTAATCTGAGGGAAATATGTGTCTCTAATATGGTCATACATTTGCAGCTCAGTTTCAACCTCATTTTGTGGGCAGTGTGCACATAGCCTGTCTTCTCTTGAGAGCCAGGTCTGCCTACGGTGGCCTTTCTCAATAGCAAGGCTATGCTCACTGAGTCTGTACATAGTCAAAGCTTTCCTTAGGTTTGGGTCAGTCGCAGTGGTCAGGTATTCTGCCACTGTGTACTCTCTGTTTAGGGCCAAATAGCATTCTAGTTTGCTCTGTTTTTTTGTTTGTTCTTTCCAATGTGTCAAGTAATTCTCTTTTTGTTTTCTCATGATTTGGTTGGGTCTAGTTGTGTTGTTGTTGTTGTTGTTGCCCTGGGGCTGTGTGGGGTCTGTTTGTGTTTGTGAACAGAGCCCCAGGACAAGCTTACTTAGGGGACTCTTCTCCAAGTTCATCTCTCTGTAGGTGATGGCTTTGTTATGGAAGGTTTGGGAATCGCTTCCTTTTAAGTGGTTATAGAATTTAACGGCTCTTTTCTGGATTTTGATAATTAGCGGGTATTGGCCTAATTCTGCTCTGCATGCATTATTTGGTGTTTTACGTTGTACACGGAGGATGTTTTCAATTTGGTGTTTGTCCCATTTTGTGAATTCTTGGTTGGTGAGCGTACCCCAGACCTCAGAACCATAAAGGGCAATGGGATCTATAACTGATTCAAGTATTTTTAGCCAGATCCTAATTGGTATGTCAAATTTTATGTTCCTTTTGATGGCATAGAAGGCCCTTCTTGCCTTGTCTCTCAGATCGTTCACAGCTTTGTGGAAGTTACCTGTGGCGCTGATGTTTAGGCCGAGGTATGTATAGTTTTTTGTGTGCTCTAGGGCAACGGTGTCTAGATTATTTTTGTCTTACTGAGATTTACTGTCAGGGCCCAGGTCTGACAGAATCTGTGCAGAAAATCTAGGTGCTGCTGTAGGCCCTCCTTGGTTGGTGACAGAAGCACCAGATCGTCAGCAAACAGAAGACATTTGACTTCAGATTCTAGTAGGGTGAGGCCGGGTGCTGCAGACTGTTCTAGTGCCCTCGCCAATTCGTAGATATATATGTTGAAGAGGGTGGGGCTTAAACTGCATCCCTGTCTCACCCCACGGCCCTGTGGAAAGAAATATGTGTGTTTTTTGCCAATTTTAACCGCACACTTGTTGTTTGTGTACATGGATTTTATAATGTCGTATGTTTTTCCCCCAACCCCACTTTCCATCAATTTGTATAGCAGACCCTCATGCCAAATTGAGTCAAAAGCTTTTTTGAAATCAACAAAGCATGAGAAGACTTTGCCTTTGTTTTGGTTTGTTTGTTTGTCAATTAGGGTGTGCAGGGTGAATACGTGGTCTGTCATACGGTAATTTGGTAAAAAGCCAATTTGACATTTGCTCAGTACATTGTTTTCACTGAGGAAATGAACTAGTCTGCTGTTAATGATAATGCAGAGGATTTTCCCAAGGTTGCTGTTGACGCATATCCCACGGTAGTTATTGGGGTCAAATTTGTCTCCACTTTTGTGGATTGGGGTGATCAGTCCTTGGTTCCAGATATTGGGGAAGATGCCAGAGCTAAGGATGATGTTAAAGAGTTTAAGTATAGCTAATTGAAATTTGTGGTCTGTATATTTTATCATTTCATTGAGGATACCATCAACACCACATAACTTTTTGGGTTGGAGGGTTTGTATTTTGTCCTGTAGTTCATTCAATGTAATTGGAGAATCCAGTGGGTTCTGGTAGTCTTTAATAGTTGATTCTAAGATTTGCATTTGATCATGTATATTTTTTTGCTGTTTGTTCTCTGTTATAGGGCCAAAAAGATTGGAGAAGTGGTTTACCCATACATCTCCGTTTTGGATAGATAGCTCTTCGTGTTGTTGTTTGTTTAGTGTTTTCCAATTTTCCCAGAAGTGGTTAGAGTCTATGGATTCTTCAATTACATTGAGCTGATTTCTGACATGCTGTTCCTTCTTTTTCCGTAGTGTATTTCTGTATTGTTTTAGTGATTCACCATAGTGAAGGCGTAGGCTCAGGTTTTCTGGGTCTCTATGTTTTTGGTTGGATAGGTTTCTCAATTTCTTTCTTAGGTTTTTGCATTCTTCATCAAACCATTTATCACTGTTATTACCTTTCTTTGGTTTTCTGTTAGAGATTTTTAGATTTGATAGGGAAGCTGAGAGGTCAAATATACTGTTTAGGTTTTCTACTGCCAAGTTTACACCTTCACTATTACAGTGGAACGTTTTGTCCAGGAAGTTGTCTAGAATGGATTGAATTTGTTGTTTCCTAATTGTTTTTTGGTAGGTTTCAACACTACTTTCCTTCCATCTATAGCATTTCTTAATATTATTCAGTTCTTTTGGCTTTGATGCCTCATGATTGAGTATTGCTCTGTTCAAGTAGACTGTGATTTTGCTGTGGTCTGATAGGGGTGTCAGTGGGCTGACTGTGAACGCTCTGAGAGACTCTGGGTTGAAGTCAGTGATAAAGTAGTCTACAGTACTACTGCCAAGAGATGAGCTATAGGTGTACCTACCATAGGAGTCCCCTCGAAGCCTACCATTGACTATGTACATACCCAGTGTGCGACAGAGCTGCAGGAGTCGTGACCCATTTTTGTTGGTTATGTTGTCGTAGTTGTGCCTAGGGGGGCATATGGGGGAGGGAATGCTGTCACCTCCAGGTAGGTGTTTGTCCCCCTGTGTGCTGAGGGTGTCAGGTTCTTGTCCAGTTCTGGCATTTAGGTCGCCACAGACTAGTACATGTCAATGGGTCTGGAAATGATTGATTTCCAACCTCCAGGATGGAGAAACTGTCTTCATTAAAGTATGGGGATTCTAGTGGGGGGATATAGGTAGCACACAGGGGGACATTTTTCTCAGTTGAGATCATTTCCTTTTGAATTTCTAGCCAAATGTAAAATGTTCCTGTTTTGATTAATTTAATAGAGTGAGTTAGGTCTGCTCTATACCAAATTAGCATACCCCCTGAGTCCCTTCCCTGTTTCACACCTGGTAGTTTGGTGGATGGGACTACCAGCTCTCTGTAACCTAGAGGGCAACCAGTGGGTCCATCTCCTCTATACCATGTTTCTTGTAGGATGACAATGTCTGTATTTCCAATTTCTTTGGTGAAGTCCAGATTCCTGCTCTTTAGGCCAAAGGCAGTTGACCTCAGGCCTTGGATATTCCAGGATGAAATAGTGAAGGCTTTGTGTTCCATAAAGTGTCTAATGTTGTTGGTTGTGTGGTTTGGCCTCAGGCCAGTAATTGTGAGCAGAGCATCTGGTACATGCCATTGGCTTGGGCTAGTGTAAGAGTGGGTGTTGGGCCTGTTTGCCTGCTCACGGCCTGGGCGTATGTGTGACTTTCATGTTGAGGCCCTCTTTGTGGGAGTGGGGGGCTTGGGGTGGGTAGGAGGGTCATAGGTCTGATCTGAGGGGGCCTAAATGGGGTGTGGGCATGGTTGACTTGGGGGGGAGTTAATTGGTGGGGGTGGGGGTGTAGATGTGGTTGATGGTGCTGTGGTCTGGATGTAGGTCCTCTCTGCGGGGGTCCTCTATGTGTAGGTCCTGGGGGGGGTCCCGCAGGTCTGGGAGAGTGTCTCGCTGGTCTGGGCGGGGTGTTTGTTGATCTGTTGCTCCTGTGTAAGGTGTTGGGTCTGCGGTTGAGGGCGATATCCTTTAGGGTCCGGGCGAAGGTGGGCACTGCTGCCTTGTATAGGTGGACCTGGTCGTAAAGGCTGTTCATGTCCAGGGTGGAGTGGTGGGCCAGGAAGACATTTGGTTTTGATGCACAGTCACGGGAAATACTTAATATAATATAATATAATATGCCATTTAGCAGACGCTTTTATCCAAAGCGACTTACAGTCATGCGTGCATACATTTGTTTTTGTGTATGGGTGGTCCCGGGGATCGAACCCACTACCTTGGCGTTACAAGCGGCGTGCTCTACCAGCTGAGCTACAGAGGACCACAGAGCTTGCGTTTACCCGCTGTATGGTAGCAGGGTGGAAGTATTTTCGTGGTAACAGAGTTGAGATAACCACTTGTGCGTTGGGGAAAGTAGAAGAAGCTTTTTCTATCACTCCCTTGAGTGATGTGGCCACCCTTTCCTGCTGTGTTCTCAGGTCGTTTGTGCCTGTGTGTATTATTATGTGGCTGGGTGATCCTAGTCGGTCCTCAGACAGAAGGTCTAGGGCGTGCTGGGTGTTTGGACACCAGAGTTTAGACACTGTGTGTTTTGGAAAAAGTTTATTTTCTTGTATGTATTTCCCGTTTGAGTCCATAAGGAGTACAATCTGTGGCTTGTGTATGTCCTCAGTGGGTGTGGGGGGGTCGTCATGAGGGCTATCAGGGTGTCTGACTGGGGGGTTGCTCAGAGGGGTTGGGGTCCCCAGGGCTTGGGGTTCTTCATTTGTTTGTCTGGGTGTGATGTCGAGGCTATGGTCAGGGTCTAGGGTGTGCTGTTCTGCTGCGGTGTCGAGACTTTGGCCAGGATCTGAGGTGGGCTGTTCTCTAATGGGTTGTTCAATGTCACCCATCATCGTTCTCCCCTTCTCCTCCAGCACTCTGATCCTCTCCTCTAGTGCTCTGTTCTTCTCCTGCTCCTGCTCTTTCTCCTGTTGATGTTGTCTCACCACAGTCCAGAGTGCAGACATGTCTCTCTCTACCTGCAGCTCTCCAGGTCTAGTTAAGGGGGTGTTGTTGTGCTGGACTGTTGTCTGGGTCTGTGCTGACTGGAGTGTGTTCACCTGCTGTTCCAGCTCCACCTGCCTTACCTCCAGCTGGGTGAATGTATCCTTCATTTTAATGAGGGAGTAGTACTCTGTGCTGGGAAGTTGACTTTCTGCTTGGGGTTGCTCTGTGGGGTTATTTAATGAAGAGGTCTGGTCTGACCCGCTCGGGGTAGGGGTGTCTTTCTCAAGGGAGAGCTTCTCCTGCTGAGCTATTTCTTTGATTAGGTGAAAGTCCAGCTGGAACTGTTTGGTGTTGCCTTGAACCAAAACGGTTCCAGATTTATAGAGATTAATAGTAGATGACTCAGAGTCCTCTTTGTCCAGTTTCCTGAGTTTCCACCCGTCGCTAACACCCCCCCTCTTAACAGAGGGGTAGTGGGCTAGTATAGCACTGTGCCATGCCAGGGGATGGTCTGTGTGGAAGATAAGGTTGCTTATGTTCCCATTTTTATACAAATCAGCAAAAAGTGTCTCGTGCTTCCCCAAAAGAAGTTTCAATTTGTACTCTTTTCGTGTCTTGTCGTTTTTTACATTCAGAGGGTACTGTATTTTAATGACCTCTGAACAGTGGGGGGGTGCTTCTAAGGCCTCTGCATTTAGTTGGGGTAGACTGTACGACTCTCCTGCCATTGTTGGGCTCAAGGGCTTTGACACCTCTCACTTCACACGTCAGTGCTAATTGAAATTGTATCTCTTTGTAGCAAACTTAAGCTTGGTAGCCTTAGAATTCAGTCCTTATAATATAAAATATATCATTGTAATGAATTTTTCTTCTTGGTTTTTGAAAGTGAAAAATAGCTTCATACTAAACATTACTCACTCAGTTCCAGGTTGGATGGTGTTTTCAGGTTTCTGTTTGTTTGCCAGAGCATTTGCTGTATAGTTTGAGAATAGTAATCCTTGGTAGTAGAAAGCTTTCCAGGTAATTCCGTCCAAAATCAGGTTGTAGGTTTGGAGTTTTGGTTTGGAATGAAGGTTATGTTGTGGAGGGTAGCATCCTGTATATGTCCCTGCCAAAAAATCCTACTTTATCTAACTCTAAATCTATATTTTTTGTTAAAAATGCAGGAGAAATGTATTTGAGCTCTCTCTCTCTCTCTCTCTCTCTCTGAATTAGTCTCTCTCTCTCTCTCTCTCTCTCTCTCTCTCTCTCTCTCTCTCTCTCTCTCTCTCTCTCTCTCTCTCTCTGTGTGTTTGTGTGTGAATTTGCTTATCTCCATGAACAATGTCAAACAGCTATTGCCTCTTCTCATATGAGGTCTGTCTCTCTGTGTTTATTTGTGTGTGTGTCTGTCTGTCTGCCTGCCTGTCTGTCTGTCTGTCTTCTCTGCACACTCTTCACACACACAGCCACCCAGCAGATACCAGAGTTGTCATAGCAGCACAGATAACTACAGTGGTAATTAGAACTTGGGTCTGGCAGAATGACTCCCAGCCCACTCACTCAGGCTCTCATTCTCTCAAATATACACACACACGCACTAGTCCCTGTACTCTGCAGTAATCCCCATCTCTCTCTCCCCCCAGCCATAAAGATCTTTGTAGCAACTAAGAGCACACATAGTGCTGGGGTGGAGGAGGCAGAGAGAAACAGATGCTTCACGTTTGAGAAGATGAGTGCTGAGATTAGTGAGATCATCAGAGTCCTACAGCTTACCACCTGGGATGAAGACACATGGGCCAACAAGGTACACACACATACACACACACACTCAGGCAAACACACACAATACATACATACTTCACCCCCTGATTCCCCTTCCAGACACACACTAGTCTCTGGTAGTCCCTCCCTTCCCATGTTCCTCTACACTAGACGCAGCATTTCCTAAACCAGGGGTGTTCCTATCCAGGTCTGGTGGTCTGCTGGTTTTCTTTTCTCCCTGGTAATTAATTGATTGACCAGAGACTCCACTCGCCTGGTTTCCCAAATCTGAATTAGTCTCTGAATAGAGGGGAGGGTGAACATCAGCAGTACTACTGACCTCCGGAACTGGATTTGAATAACCCTGTCTTAAAGCATACTTCACTTTCTCTCTTTAGTTTCCACTCTTTTCTTCTGTTGGGCTTCTGTTATAACTGTATTTTCTTTTTATTTTCTTTTTTACTCCCTTCATTCTTTTCCTCCCTGTAGAAGGTAAGCCTGCCTCTTTCCCCTCTGCCATGCTGCAGTGTGTGTGGTGTGTGTGTGGTGTGTGTGTGGTGTGTGTGTGGTGTGTGTGTGGTGTGTGCGTGTGTGTGTGTGTGTGAGAGAGTGTGAGTGTGCGTATGCGTGTGTGTGATAGAGAGTGAGAGTGAGTGTATGCATGTCTATACGTGTTTGCGTGTGTATGTCTGTAAATACTGTGTGAGGAGAGGGGGAGCTTAAGTGAGTGTGTGTGTGTGCATATGTGTGTGTATGTGTGTGTGTATAACTGCTCTCTTTGTGTCTCTCTAGGACATGGAGTGTATGAAACGTTCTCTGGCGGTGATAGAGGCTAAGATGGCCCTGGCGAAAGGCTGGCTCAAAGACCCCCATGGACAACCAGGTAATGCTATCAGCCATGGTCTAGTGATACAGTCTACCCAAATACCTGCCTCCCCCATCATCCTTATAGTGACATCCTCACAATACTAGCACTGCACTCCTTATGATTAATTGTGTGTGTGTGTGTGTGTGTGTGTGCGTGTGCGTGTGTGTAGGCGAGCCCGGGGAGGTAGCTGTGCGTGTGATATTGGATGAGGCAGGGAAGGTAGGAGAACTGTGTGCTGGAAGGGAACGCAGAGACGCACTGGGAACAACAAAGACTCTGGGACAGATGACCGAACAGGTCGCAGAGCTACGTGTCAGGTACTGTGTGTGTATGTGCTTGTAACTTGTTATAATAACCATGTATAAGCCTTTCCAATCTCTTATGATAAGGCTTACAATATGTTATGTCTATATGTATCAACATTTCAACTTTCTAATGGCTGGTATTTAGTCGGGATCATGTTGAGTTGATTCTTACACATTATAAGGGTGTCGTACATGGTCATGACAAGTTTTACAATACATTATACCTGCAAAGTGTTAAAGTGTTAACGTTAATGTGTGTATAATCTCCTCCTGTAGAGGCCATGGTCCGTCTCCACCATGTGTCCAGCGGGCCGGTCAGTGTTCTCAGGGTCTGGACCTGCTGCTTGGGAAAGTGGACAGCGCCACCCGCAGGCTGGAGGCCTTGACTAAAGCTAAACTGGCCATCGCTAGGAGACTGGATGCTGCCCAGGTCAGCACACACATACCAATATAAAAATAGTGTTTTACTTCAGAGTTTGACTTTTTGTTTCTGGGTTGGTCGAAATATCAGATTAAATATTAAAAGGTAAAGGACAAAACCTTGTGTGTGAATGTGTATGTGTGCAAGCACACGTCTGTGTGTGTGTGTGTGTGTGTGTGTGTGCGCGCGTCATAGGCATGGCTGGCAGATCCTAATGGGGGTCCGGAGGGTGCCGAAAACATCAGAGCCTTGCTAGCCGAGGCCCAAAAAATCGCTGACCTGTGCGAAGACCCCCTCGAGAGAGATGACATCCTGAGATCCATCAATGAGATTGCAGGGCTCACCGCACGACTAGTGGAGCTACGCAAGCGGTACGTAATTTTTGTTTGTAACTGTTGTTGTCTGTTTTTTCGAGCGTGTAACTTGTGTCTGTTTGCAGGCCATACCGTGGGTAACTGTTGTCATCTGTGTGATTGTCAGTTTGTCTGTTTTTGGCACATGCCTACCTGAGAGCCCTGTATGGCTGGGTCTGTCTGCCCATTAGCAGGTTCAACACATGCGGACACATGTGCACACAAACAAACACACACACGCCATCTTTACTTTGTGATGGTTTGGAGACGGTCCAGATGATGTTCCTCGACCATGAGACACTTGCATTCAGTCTGCATGGTCAATGCAGCACATGTGACAATGTTGATGACAACGATGCTGTTTTCACTTTGCTTCTTAATATAAATCCACCTGCGTTCTATAATTACACTTTGTTTGTGTTTCTTACATCTGCAAACAGCTAGTTTGTCTATTCTTAGCAAGTTGGGCCTAAACCTTGTTAGCAGTTAATGCTAATCGCTAGTTAACTGGCTAGCTAGCTAATAAATGTCAGTGGTGGAAAATGTACCCAATTGTCATACATGAGTAAAAGTAAAGATACCTTAATAGAAAAGGACTCAAGTAAAAGTGAAAGTCACCCAATAAAATCCTACTTGAGTAAAAATCTAAAAGTATTTGGTTTTAAATATACTTAAGTATCAAAAGTAAATGTAATTGCTAAAATATACTTAAGTATCAAAAGTAAAAGTATAAATAATTTCAAATTCCTTATATTAAGCAAACCAGACGGCACCATTTTCTTGTTTTTATTTATTTATGGATAGCCAGGGGTAAGCTCCAACACTCAGACATAATTTACAAACGAAGCATGTGTTTAGTGAGTCCGCCAGATCAGAGGCAGTAGGGATGACCAGGGATGTTCTCTTGATAAGTGTGTGAATTAGACCATTTTCCTGTCCTGCATTCAAAATTTACTTTTGGGTGTCAGGAAAATGTATGGAGTAAAAAGTACATAATTTTCTTTAGGAATGTAGTAAAGTAAAAGTTGTCAAAAATATAAATAGTAAGTATAGTACAGATACCCAAAAAAACGACTTAAGTAGTACTTTCAAGTATTTTTAGTTAAGTACTTTACACCACTGATAAATGTACTCAGTCAGAGCAAACATAACTAGCTAAACAGCCTGATAATACCAGTGATGGTGTAGACCTAAATCAGCATGTTGTTTGTGCATCAGTATCAAAAATCAAAGAGGAATACGCAAAGCATAAATATGTTAGCTACATGAAGTAGCTAAGAGAAAACATTCAATGTAGCCAAAGATTATAGGGTCCCCTAGGAAACACTTTTCAACACTTTGGTTCCTACCCTGTCACAATAACTCCTCCCTGGCATTTTCATTCGTTGTCATGTCAAACAACACTATTATATTATATTCTAACTATAGAATTAGAATAATCATTCTATTTCCATGATTCCAACAGTTCACCCAAGTGTTTTGATCTAAATCGCAAGTCAAATCGCAATTGCAACATTTGGTTAAAAATAAGGCTTAGGTTGTTTGCCCATATCGTGCAACCCTACGTGGCAGTGTGGAAATTTTCTCAAATTAGAGCAGGAAATGCAGAAATTTATGAAAATGCTGAAATTTTTTTTAGTTGAAGTTGAATTTAACAGTGTAAAACAATCAGAAACAACCCATTTGAAATCACTTAGAATGTATGTGTTGCCACCCTAGGGTCACGCATGACTCATAAAGAAAATTTAGAACTTTTATTAATCAAAAACATAAAATACCGTCAAATACTGTGACACCGTCCCATTTTTTAAAAATACCATGATTTTATATTTTGGCCATATCGCCCAGCCCTACTTCTAGCTATCGTTACCTCGATAGTCTCCCGTTACTCCCGTGTCTCGTCTGACTTCCCTGTCGAATAGCAGCGTGTGGTGTTGCTAACTAGCCTCCTCCCCGGTAATTCCATCTGTTTTCGTCTGTCCAGTCAAAATTATATTTTCCAGTGTACAGACCAAGGGGGAGAGAAAGCGGCGCAAGCCTAGCAAGGCTCGCCCCGGCAATTGCAGCCACTACATGTCTCAGTCTGACTCCCATCAGCTCTGTTCTACTTGCCTTGGCGTAGACCACACTTTGGCGGCTCTCGTGGACCCTGCTAGCTGTGCACATTGCGCTAAGCTGGGCTCCGGTGTCATCAAACGTAGAGCATGGTACATGGAAAGTATTGCCCAGGCCTCGTTCTTGCTCGAGGTAGACTTAGTTTCAGGAGTTCAAGCAGCGCCCCCTCTGACCAGGAAGTGGATTACATCCCTGAGGGAGAGTTGCTCTGCTCAGCTTAGAGGTAGGGCAGGAGTCAATGACTGATCTCCCCTTCTTCAAGGCAATCAGACGCGCTGCCACCAAATTTGAGGTTGGGTACCAAGAAGACTAAGATGGCTGGAATCACCCCTTAGGGTAATTCCACATCCGTCTACAATGTGTACCAGCCTTCCCAGACTGTGTGTCGTTGGTGGAGTCTTCCTGGGCGGAGCCACATAAGTCACCTTCTCTGGTGACTGGCTACCAACACTTGGATATTTATGGCATGGAGTCGTTGGGATGGTTCAGCCCTCCTCCCATGGAGCCTTCCCTGGCTGAACACCTCGACCCAAGGCTCCTTTGACCTTGATAACCAGAGTCTCGTCGGGAGTCCTGCGTCAGGTCACTCAAGGTCACTCAAGACCCATAAGTCCCCGTTGGGACAGGTCAACACCACTGTTCCCCCAGTTCAGCTCTCTAATAAAGAGTTCCAATCACATCCAGGCCCACGGGTCGAGGGTGATGGTTCAGAATGTTCCCATTCAAAACAATCAACCTCTCGAGGGCTACCTTGTCCAGCCACCAGGCCTGGTAGGTTCCCCGTTCCGTCCACGGGACAGGTTGCCCATATGCGCAGTCGCTCCAGTGGGGTGGCCGCCACAGGGTTCCCCGTTTCCCCCCGGGAACAGATTAGTTCCCTTGCTCCTCACAGGGAGCAGGAGCATGCGTGTGCAGTCTCCCCCTGGGTCCTACACACCGTAGGCCAGAGGTACAGACTACATGAAAATAGTGCAGCAAGCAGCTTGGTGAGAAGGTGACAACAGTTGGTGCGATTATTCGCAAATGGAAGAAACACAAAAGAACTGTCAATCTCCTTCAGCCTGGGGCTCCATGCAAGATCTCACCTCGTGGAGTTGCAATGATCATGAGAACGGTGAGGAATCAGCCCAGAACTACACGGGAGGATCTTGTCAATGATACAAGGCAGCTGGGACCATAGTCACCAAGAAAACAATTGGTAACACACTACGCCGTGAAGGACTGAAATCCTGCAGCGCCCGCAAGGTCCCCCTGCTCAAGAAAGCACATATACAGGCCCGTCTGAAGTTTGCCAATGAAGATCTGAATGATTCAGAGGAGAACTGGGTGAAAGTGTTGTGGTCAGATGAGACCAAAATGGAGCTCTTTGGCATAAACTCAACTCGCCGTGTTTGGAGGAGGAGAAATGCTGCCTATGACCCCAAGAACACCATCCCCACCGTCAAACATGGAGGTGGAAACATTATGCTTTGGGGGTGTTTTTCTGCTAAGGGGACAGGACAACTTCACCGCATCAAAGGGACGATGGACGGGGCCATGTACCGTCAAATCTTGGGTGAGAACCTCCTTCCCTCAGCCAGGGCATTGAAAATGGGTCGTGGATGGGTATTCCAGCATGACAATGACCCAAAACACACGGCCAAGGCAACAAAGAGTGGCTCAAGAAGAAGCACATTAAGGTCCTGGAGTGGCCTAGCCAGTCTCCAAACCTTAATCCCATAGAAAATCTGTGGAGGGAGCTGAAGGTTCGAGTTGCCAAACGTCAGGCTCGAAACCTTAATGACTTGGAGAAGATCTGCAAAGAGGAGTGGGACAAAATCCCTCCTGAGATGTGTGCAAACCTGGTGGCCAACTACAAGAAACGTCTGACCGCTGTGATTGCCAACAAGGGTTTTGCCACCAAGTACTAAGTCATGTTTTGCAGAGGGGTCAAATACTTATTTCCCTCATTAAAATGCAAATCAATTGATAACATTTTTGACATGCATTTTTCTGGATTTTTTTGTTGTTATTCTGTCTCTCACTGTTCAAATAAACCTACCATTAAAATTATAGACTGATCATGTCTTTGTCAGTGGGCAAACGTACAAAATCAGCAGGGGATCAAATACTTTTTTCCCTCACTGTAGCCTACAAGCCATTTTTAAAAGTCTAATAAATCCATGTAATATAGCCTACACCTTCACAATAAATCCATTATTTATTTTAGACAGGTCTAAAGAAGCATTATATGAAGAAAATTTAATCTATTTCAGAAGAAAAGAATAGCATACTCTGAGTTGTCCTTATGTTAGGTCCTGATGTGGCTATGCCAAATGGCTGTGGGCTACACACCAAACGGTTTGAGGGAGTGCTCACATGCGGCTATTCTGTGTTGAGCGGTTAAAAATAAAAATTAATAAATATGCCATTTAGCAGACGCTTTTATCCAAAGCGACTTACAGTTATGCGTGCATACATTTTTTTGTGTATGGGTGGTCCCGGGATCGAACCCACTACCTTGGCGTTACAAGCGCCGTGCTCTACCAGCTGCTCTACCAGCTGAGCTACAGAGGTTAACAAAGAAATAGGTACTCCTATATGCTTAATTTAGAGTTATTAATGTAACTTTGTTCTACAAACGTTGGGCTATATGTTTAGATTTTTAATACATTGTAAGGCTGCATGATGAGACTAATGATGATTTGAAAAAAGTTGCATGAAAGGCATGAGCTCTGCTTTGTTTTTTGCGCAGGCTGTACACACTCCAATAGTCTCTCATTCACAATTTGACAAGCACTTGATAATGCCTTGAATATCACAGCGGCATCCCCTTTGTGGCCGTAAGGCACCCTAAAAAAATCCATGCCTTTTGTGACCCGGAGTGCTGCATTGTGCCCTTCTCCCTGAGTGTGCTGTGCAATCCGAAGCGTCTCTCACTCACACAGCTCTCCGTCAAGTGATCGACTCTTTCTCACAGGCTACAAGTTAAGACATCGGGACGCGACTGCGCACGTCCTTATCCAATTCCGAGGTGCATATTGAAGATATTGGAAGAACTGTCCACATTTACTTTTCGTCAGCCAACAAGATGAGTAGGTCTAACGAACAGCAAAAGCATTAGCCTATGTCAATCTGCTATCCCCCATAGTACAAAAGTCGACCTATTCTGTGCGAGAAATAAATATTCCAAACATAGTCTGGGACAGTTGTGGGATGCGATAGATCCCAAATTAATACAACCACTAGCATCAAAAAACCTTTTTTACGCAATGTCGCTGACGCAACAGATCAGAACATTTAGCTTAAAATGTTGATAAAGTATTAGGCTATTTCTTCACATTATAAGCGCAGCAATGCGCACATGGTAGTAGGCTATAAGCGCGAATGTTCCATAAGCAGAAAACTCCATTATCAAAAGTGACAGCAAATGCAATTATGCATGAAATGCTTCTATTATAAAGGTGCAAATTATCTTCCCCAAACTTAAACTCATGCGCTGCTTATGTATGCCAGTTAGGCTCTACACCCCTTGTAAAGCGGATTAATGTGCTTCATTTTAAGAAGTTATTTGGCCACTTTAGTTGTGATACAAACCTTATCAAAACATATAGGCATATGGCTTAGGCTACATGAGGTGTGCGACTATGATTCGAACAAGTCGCAAAAAAAAGGCATTGTTTCTTATGCTGGGCATCATTCACAAGTGATAATATATAATTCACAAGTGATAGGCTAATATTGTCACCCCATCAGACTATTCTTGATTGAATCTTGTCATTACATATGCTAAATAATATATGTGTGACATTTGTTTTGATTTAGAATGGACCATTATCATGCACCTGTATCGAAACGGGCAGTGGGAAAAAATACATGTCATCTATGCACTTAAATAGGGAATGGAGGACGCTTTTCCCCGTGGTTTATTTTCATGCCAGCTAGGTAGGCTATACTCCTGCTGTAAATATAACCAATGTGCTTAATATTTGCTTAATATTAGGAAAGTTGAGAAATAAATATAGTAGGCCTAGCCTATAGAAAGCTGATGGGATCCTCCTCTTTTTATTAGCAGCCATCACTCTATTTTCTCCCACAATTGCATAGCCTATAGAAATGTTGCGCAACATGAGCTCATGGTCTCTCATGAAGTGTTTGATTAGATTTTCGAATACATTTGCATTGATGTCAGAGTGATTAGAGGGACAATAGAGTGCGGAGTACCAGGCAGTTAGCAAGTTTGGTAGGCTACTAATGACCAGCAGCAGCATTAGAGCTTGTAGAAGCCTAATTACTGTGACTAAATGGTCATGTGGAATTTGACTGCCTTCATGACTCGGTGACCGCGGTAATATGGTCACCGCAACAGCCCTAATCACAACATACCTCTGGGCGTAGACACGCTGGCCCACTACCTGTCAGACGTGCTTCTGTACGCCTTCCCTCCCGTGGGCCTGATCCTGCTATGTAGGACTAGGTGAGACGATGATCGGGGCTCACCCCTTTCGTTTGTCGTTTTATTTAGGGAGCGCACTGTCTTATAAGATGGCCCTCTTGCTCGCCTTGGCCACTGCCAGGCACGTTAGCGACCTTCATGCGCTCTCGGTTCATCCTTCATGCACTTACGATATGTCCTAACGCCGCGTTCGTTCCTTAAGTCATTTCCATGACTCATAGTAGCCTAGTCAAGCCACTGATATCTCTTTATCTGAGATTTATGTGGTGGCTAGTTGGGCTTCCCATCACACCTTTGTGAGGTTCTATAATCTGGAAGTCACTGCGTTATCCCTGGCACACACAGTCCTTGGCGCTAGAGCTGAGTAGGATGGATCAGGTACACTGCCACAACACAGGCTTCTCAGGAAACGGGCTAATGGCAATTGGGGCGTTTTGCAAGTGTCTCATAGTGAGATGTCGAACCGAGTCGACTGAAAGAGTACTATGGGTTATGGTATGTAACCCCGGTTCTCTGAAGGAACATCTCACCAGATTGCCCTTCTTGCATGACTTGTGTAAGTGGCAGTTAGTTGAATAAGGAAACCAGAGCATTGCGGGTGCTATATATATACGCAGGGCTTACACCCACAAAGCTCTGATTGGCCTGTTAGGCGTGATTTAATAAGGTTTCAGCGAATAGGACACGAGGAGGCATGTCCCATAGTGAGACGTCTCCCTCATCTCCTTCAGAGAACCAGGTTTACATACTGTAACCCATCGTTTTTAATGAACCAAACTGAACTTCTGATTCTTTGGTATTTTTCCTCCTTGATTTATTGATGTTGTGTGTGCAGAATAACCCTTACCCTTCGGGATGGAACACCTTCAGTCGACAATAATGACTTGTTAAATCTCTACCTGGTACAGCCAAAGGAGGATGAGCCTGGTGCCTCTATAGGTTTCTTCCTTCTATGTAGTTTTTCCTTGCCACTGTGCTTCTGCTAGCTCTTTGTGGTCTAGGATGGGTTACTGTAAAGCACCTTGTGACAAATATAAATATATGTGACTGATTGGTTGATATCTCTCTTTCTCGCCCCATCCTCTCTTTTCTCCCCCCTCACTCTTTCGCTTTGTCTCTGTCTCTGTTTCTCTCCTCTATCTCTCCCTCTCTCCCCTGCCCACACTCTCTCTCTTTGTCTCTCTGTTTCTCTCCCCCCTCACCTCTCCCTGTATCTCAGGGGTAAAGGGGACAGTCCGGAGGCGCGTGTGCTAAGTAAACAGATCGGAGCAGCTCTCCTGACCCTGCAGGCTAAGACCAACAGAGCGGTGGCCAACATGAGACCTGCCAAACCAGCCATCACTCTGCAGGGCAAGATGGAGCAGGCCCTACGCTGGGTCAACAACCCTGGACAGAATGACAGGGGTGTGGGTGAGTGAGGGAGAAGGGGATGGGAAGAGGGGAGGAGGGGCGAGGAAAGGAGAGGATAATAGTCTTTACAATACAGTGTCCATCTTTTACAATGGAGATGTTTATTTTGCATACCCCTATGTGCATGTGTATGTGTTTATGGTGTACTCTGTTCTGCCATGCTGCCGTCTGAGTGCAGTGTGTGAGCGGCCACAGCACAACACAGGTAACTGCTTTTACAGAGAACTGAACCATAAAGCTGTTGTGCTGTACAGTGAGCTCCAAAAGTATTGCGACAGAGACACATTTTTTGTTGTTTTGGCTCTGTACTCCAGCACTTCGGATTTGAAATTATACAATGACTATGAGGTTAAAGAGCAGACTGTCAGCTTTAATCTGAAAGTAATTTCATCCATATTGAGTGAACTGTTTAGATATTACAGTACATTTTGTACATAGTCCCCCCATTTTAGGGGACCAAAAGTATTGGGACATACCTTTGACTACAATGACTACATCAAGCTTGTGACTCTACACATTTGTTGGATGTATTTGCTGTTTGTTTTGTTTGTGTTTCAGATTATTTTGTGCCCAATAGAAATGAATGGTAAATAATGTATTGTGTCATTTTGGAGTCACTTGTATTGTAAATAAGAATATAATGTGTTTCTCAACACTTCTACATTAATGATTACAGATAATCCTGAATGAATCGTGAATAATGATGAGTGAGAAAGTTACAGATGCACAAATGTTGGGCACAAAATAATCTCAAACACAACCAAAACAAACAGCAAAAGCATCCAACAAATTTGTAGAGTTACAAGCATTCTTTAATACACATACAGTATAAGTAATACTTTTGGTCCCCTAAAATGGGGGGACTATGTACAAAAAGTGCTGTAATCTCTAAACGGTTCAACCGATATGGATGAAACCCTCAAATTAAAGCTGGCAGTCTGCACTTTAACCTGAACGTCACTGCATCATTTCAAATCCAAAGTGCTGGAGTAGAGAGCCAAAACACCGTAGCAAAATGTTTTGCAATGGGAAATGTTTTGCAACGAAGTCTATAAAGTCCAGTGTGTTAAACATGCATTACTCTACCCACCCTCAAGGTCAGGCAGCAATCCGGGGCTTGGTATCGGAGGGCCGCCGGTTGGCTGGAGGGCTGGGGGGGCCGTACCGGCAGGATATGATTGTCCGCTGCGATCGCAACGAGGCGCTGATGACATCACTGGCTGACATAGCGGGGAGGGGAGAGGCCGAAGCCCCCCAGGCTAAAGCTACTGCTTCACAACTACAAGAAAGTCTGAAGGTAACACACACACACAGTGATGGGCAAAGATACAGGTACAGTGCCTTGCAAAAGTATTCATCCCCCTTGGTGTATTTCCTATTTTGTTGCATTACAACCTGTAATTTAAATATATTTTTATTTGGATTTCATGTAATGGACATACACAAAATAGTCAAAATTGGTGAAGTGAAATGAAAAAAATAACTTGTTTCAAAAAAATAAAATAACGGAAAAGTGGTGCGTGCATATGTATTCACCCCCTTTGCTCTGAAACCCCTAAATAAGATCTGGTGCAACCAATTACCTTCAGAAGTCACATAATTAGTTAAATAAAGTCCACCTGTGTGCAATCTAAGTGTCACATGATCTGTCACATGATCTCAGTGTATATATACACCTGAAATGCCCCTGAGTCTGCAACACCACAAAGCAAGGGGCATCACCAAGCAAGCGGCACCATGAAGACCAAAGAGCTCTCCAAACAGGTCAGGGACAAAGTTGTGGAGAAGTACAGATCAGGGTTGGGTTATAAAAAAATATCTGAAACTTTGAACATCCCATGGAGCACCATTCAATCCATTATTAAAAAATTGAAAGAATATGGCACCACAACAAACCTGCCAAGAGAGGGCCGCCCACCAAAACTCACGGACCAGGCAAGGAGGGCATTAATCAGAGAGGCAACAAAGAGACCAACGATAACCCTGAAGGAGCTGCAAAGCTCCACAGCGGAGATTGGAGTATCTGTCCATAGGACCACTTTAAGCCGTACACTCCACAGAGCTGGGCTTTACGGAAGAGTGGCCAGAAAAAAGCCATTGCTTAAAGAAAAAAATAAGCAAACACGTTTGGTCTTCGCCAAAAGGCATGTGGGAGACTCCCCAAACATATGGAAGAAGGTACTCTGGTCAGATGAGACTAAAATTGAGCTTTTTGGCCATCAAGGAAAACGCTATGTCTGGTGCAAACCCAACACCTCTCATCACCCCGAGAACACCATCCCCACAGTGAAGCATGGTGGTGGCAGCATCATGCTGTGGGGATGTTTTTCATTGGCAGGGACTGGGAACCTGGTCAGAATTGAAGGAATGATGGATGGTGCTAAATATAGGGAAATCCTTGAGGGAAACCTGTTTCAGTCTTCCAGAGATTTGAGACTGGGACGGAGGTTCACCTTCCAGCAGGACAATGACCCTAAGCATACTGCTAAAGCAACACTTGAGTGGTTTAAGGGGAAACATTTAAATGTCTTGGAATGGCCTAGTCAAAGCCCAGACCTCAATCCAATTGAGAATCTGTGGTATGACTTAAAGATTGCTGTACACCAGCGGAACCCATCCAACTTGAAGGAGCTGGAGCAGTTTTGCCTTGAAGAATGGGCAAAAATCCCAGTGGCTAGATGTGCCAAGCTTATAGAGACATACCCCAAGAGACTTGCAGCTGTAATTTCTGCAAAAGGTGGCTCTACAAAGTATTGACTTTGGGTGAATAGTTATGCATGCTCAAGTTTTCAGTTTTTTTGTCTTTCTTGTTTGTTTCACAATAAAACATATTTTGCATCTTCAAAGTGGTAGGCATGTTGTGTAAATCAAATGATACAACCCCCCCCCCCCCCCCCCAAAAAAAAAAAATCCATTTTAAATACATTCGCAAGCCACTGTAACTTCCAAAATAAAGGAAACACTTGAGTAAATGAGGGATACAAAGTACATTGAAAGCAGGTGCTTCCACACAGGTGTGGTTCCTGAGTTAATGAAGCAATTAACATCCCATCATGCCTAGGGTCATGTATAAAATGCTCAGTTGCCCATTATGTTGGCTACCATGGCTAGAAGAAGAGATCTCAGTGACTTTGAAAGAGGAGTCTCAAAGGAGCATAGTGTGTTTTAAAGTGTTTGTTTGTGTGTGTGTGTGTGTGTGGGTGTGTGTCTCAGTCACCAGATCCCAAACCAATTGAACACTTATGGGAGATTCTGGAGCGGCACTTGAGACAGCTTTTTCCACCACAATCAACAAAACACCAAATTATTGCATTTCTTGTGGAAGAATGGTGTTGCATCCCTCCAATAGAGGTCCAGACAAGGCACATTGAAGCTGTTCTAGCGGCGGCCCAACGCCCTATTAACATGCTGACCACACCGCCCGCATGTTATTCAATCATTGCTTGTGCGCGTCAACAAGCGTCTGCATAGCCAGGCGCTAAAATAGAAGTTGGTTCTATTTGTGACGCTTGACACGCTGCAAGTCCTGCCTCTCCCATCTCCTCATTGGTTTTTAGGAGCATATACCCACGTGGGTGATTGAAAGATGAATTGAGGTCCACACTCCAGTCCAGAGTGTGGTGGTAATGCACCTTAAAGTTGGTTGCCAACCGCCATATAAAGTCCAAAGAAGAAGAAGAAGCCTGAAGAGGAGAGATTACTAGAAACAAACTATTTTATCTGTGGATTTATTGTAGGAGTAGAGGACCTTGTGCATTTCAGGTAAAATAACAACCCAATGTTTATATCCCAGGACAAATTAGCGAGCAACAGCAAGCTAGCTAGCTAAATTGCCATAAATGTTAAATGCTTTTCGACCTGTCCCCAAATTAAAATAGTTGGTTCAGAGTTTGTTTTGATATTTCAACCTCCGTGTCCTGATCGCGTCTGGTATGGGTGGACAAAATCAACACGTGAGCGGTGTGGTCAGACACTTTATGTTGGTGTTTCCTTTATTTTGGCTATAGTGGCGCCGGAGGAGATGGCTGCCGTTTTACGGGCTCCTAACCAATTGTGCTATTGTGTGTGTTTTTTTGCATTATTTGTAACTTATTTTGTACATAATGTTTCGGCCACCGTCTCTTATGACTGAAAAGAGCTTCTGGATATCAGGACAGAGATTACTCACCTCGTACTGGATGAAGATTTTTTCTTTAACCAGTCGGACGAGAAGGATTTACTTCAGACACCCGACAAGGCCCAAATCCCGTCATTCGCAGGAGAAAGAGACAGAGATATCGGGGACATAGGTCGGGGTGCCTTGTAAGGATCCTACGGCGAGTGGGTAATCTGCCTCTAGCATCAGTCCTATTAGCCAACGTAATATCATTGGATAACAAAATAGACAAGCTACGATCACGAATATCCTACCAACGGGACATTAAAAACGGTAATATCTTATGTTTCATCGAGTCGTGGCTGAACGACGACATGGATAACAATCAGCTGGCGGGGTTTACGCTGCATCGGCAAGATTGAACAGTGGCCTCTGGTAAGACATGGGGTGGCGGTCTGTGTATATTTGTAAACAACTGCTGGTGCACGAAATCTAATATCAAGGAAGCCTCGAGGTTTTGCTCGCCTGAGGTAGAGTATCTCATGATAAGCTGTAGACCAAACTATTTACCTAGAGAGTTTTCATCAATATTTTTCGTAGCTGTCTATTTACCACCACAAACCGATGCTGGCACTAAGACCGCACTCAATGAGCTGTATAAGGCCATAAGCAAACAGGAAAACGCTCATCCAGAGGCGGCGCTCCTAGTTGCCGGGGACTTTAATGCAGGGAAACGTGTTACCAGCATGTTAAATGTGCAACCAGAGGAAAGAAAACTCTAGATCACCTTTACTCTACACACAGAGATGCGTACAAAGCTCTCCCTCGCCTGACCATAATTCTATCCTCCTGATTCCTGCTTACAAGCAAAAACTAAAGCAGGAAGCACCAGTGACTCGGTCAATAAGGGAGTGGTCAGATGACGCAGATGCGAAGCTACAGGACTGTTTTGCTAGCACAGACTGGAATATGTTCCGGGATTATTCCGATGGCATTGAGGAGTACACCACATCAGTCACTGGCTTCATCAATAAGTGTATCGATGACGTCATCCCCACAGTGTCCATACGTACCCCAACCAGAAGCCATGGATTACAGGCAACATCCGCACTGAGATCATCAGCTGTTCCGGGTTTACTGTGTGATCACGCTCTCTGTAGCCGATGTGAGTAAGACCTTTAAACAGGTCAACATTCACAAGGCCGCAGGGCCAGACGGATTACCAGGACGTGTACTCCGAGCATGCGCTGACCAACTGGCAAGTGTCTTCACTGACATTTTCAACCTGTCCCTGACTGAGTCTGTAATACCAACATGTTTCAAGCAGACCACCATAGTCCCTGTGCCCAAGAACACTAAGGTAACCTGCCTAAATGACTACAGACCCGTAGCACTCATGTCTATAGCCATGAAGTGCTTTGAAAGGCTGGTCATGGCTCACATCAAAACCATTATCCCAGAAACCCTAGACCCACTCCAATTTGCATACCGACCCAACAGATCCACAGATGATGCAATCTCTATTGCACTCCACACTGCCTTTTCCCACCTGGACAAAAGGAACACCTACATGAGAATGCTATTCACTGACTACAGCTCAGCGTTCAAAACCATAGTGCCCTTAAAGCTCATCACTAAGCTAAGGACCCTGGGACTAAACACCTCCCTCTGCAACTGGATCCTGAAAATCCTGACAGGCCGCCCCCAGGCAGTAAGTGTAGGTAAGAACACATCTGCCACGCTGATCCTCAACATGGGGGCCCCTCAGGGGTGCGTGCTCAGTTCCCTCCTGTACTCCCTGTTCACCCATGACTGCATGGCCAGGTACGACTCCAACACCATCATTAAGTTTGCAGACGACACAACAGTGGTAGGCCTGATCATTGAGAACAGTGAGACAGCCTATAGGGAGGAGGTCAGAGACCTGGCCGTGTGGTGCCAGGATAACAACCTCTCTCTCAACGTGATCAAGACAAAGGAGATGATTGTGGACTACAGGAAAAGGAGGACTGAGTACGCCCCCATTCTCATCAACGGGCTGTAGTGGAGCAGGTTGAGAGCTTCAAGTTCCTTGGTGTGCACATCACCAATAAACTATCATGGTCCAAACACACCAAGACAGTCGTGAAGAGGGCACGACAAAGCCTATTCCCCTTCAGGAGACTGAAAAGATTTGGCATGTGTCCTCAGATCCTCAAAAAGTTCTACAGCTGCACCATCGAGAGCATCCTGACTGGTTGCATCACTGCCTGGTATGGCAACTGCTCGGCCTCCAACCACAAGTCACTACAGAGGGTAGTGCGTACGGCCCAGTACATCACTGGGGTCAAGCTTCCTGCCATCCAGGACCTCTATACCAGGAGGTGTCAGAGGAAGGCCCTAAAAATTGTCAAAGACTCCAGCCATCCTAGTCATAGACTGTTCTCTCTGCTACCGCATGGCAAGCGGTACCGGAGCGCCAAGTCTAGGTCCAAAAGGCTGCTTAACAGCTTCTACCTCCAAGCCATAAGACTCCTGAACAGCTAATCAAATGGCTACCCAGACTATTTGCATTGCCCCCTCCCTCCTCTTTTACGCTGCTGCTACTCTCTGTTTATTATCTATGCATAGTCACTTTAACTCTACGTACATATTACCTCAATTACCTCAACTAACCTGTGCCCCCACACATTGAATCTGTATATAGCCTCGCTACTGTTATTTTACTGCTGCTTTTTAATTATTTGTTGTTGTTATTATTATTATTATTATTATTATTATTATTATTATTATTATTTAACACTTCTTTTTCTTAAAACTGCATTGTTGGTTAAGGGCTTGTAAGTAAGCATTTTACTGTAAGGTGTATTGCGCATGTGACAAATAAGATTTGATTTGATTAACATGTATCTTGTTACAAAATACCAAATACCCTGATGTATCAAAATAAACTACAACACTGGTGCCAAAACATTTATTTAATTAAAATATGTGTATTTTGTATTTTCAAAATACAGAAAATACATTTGCCTCCTTAAATGAATTATAAAACATTTACATTACTTATGACCCTTGGCTAACACCAATAGCCCAGACAATTGGCACAGTTCATAGTGTTAGTCTTCAGAGCTTTGTGGCCCCCTAATACTCCAAATTTGCAGCATTGGTGTCAGAAATTCGATACTGTGCAAGAAACTCAAGGCATGGAACTCACTTCCCGAATGAGAGTGAGTGTACTGATAGTGTGGCATAGGCAATAACATAGTGCTTTTGCTTTCAAAGTCAAATTCACTTTCCCCTTTTGGACCAAATTCACTGCATTACTCTCACTCTGGAAGTGTATCCTTGTGCTTCAACTTTCTTTCAAGCTCCTCCACGCATCCACCAACCCCTCTCATGGCCTCACACAATAACGCCATAAGACTTCTGATACCAAGTCAGCAAATTTGAGGTGATAGGGTGCCACAAAATTGTGAACTGCTTTTGATATTGTTATTTTGAAAGTATTTTGAGCATTTTGAAAATAATAAATAGGCTACCATTCTCTGAAGTCTCTTGTTACAAATTACATGTTGATTTTTTTCAGGCCATTCAAATACAAATGACAAAATAATAATTGAAAAAAATAATGTACTTTAAATACATGAAACAAAAATACTGCCCATCTCTGCACTTACACATATACCATCTCTGCACTTACACATATACACATATACACATATACACATATACACACACACACACACACACACACACACACACACGTATAACTTGATCAAGGGCTCCTCCTGCTGGTCAAGAATGACCTTGTTTTTAAAAATTTCTGTCATCATTCTCTATTTCTACAAAAGACATATAAAACATGTACTGATATAAATATCCATAATGTATGTCTGTCAGGACTTGAAGGGTCGTATGCAGGAGGTGATGACCCAGGAAGTATCCGATGTGTTCAGTGACACCACCACCCCCATTAAACTACTGGCCGTGTCTGCGACTGCCCCCCCAGAGGCCCCGCACAGAGAGGAGGTACTGTCTGTCTGTCTTTCTGTCTGTTACATATACTGTCTGTCTGGCAGTATATTTCCTATCTATCTATAACGTTGTGTTGCGTTACGGTCAGTGTTTGTTTAGGCTAATTTGTGTGTGTGTGTTGCAGGTGTTTGATGAGCGTGCTGGTAACTTTGAGGCCCATGCGGGTCGCCTGGGCGCAACAGCGGAGAAGGCGGCGGCCGTGGGATCAGCCAATAAGAACACAGTTGAGGGAATACAGGCTACTGTTAAACACACTAGAGAACTCACTCCACAGGTACATGTGTGTGTCCCCAGCGACTTAGACTTTAGACAGACACAACAATGATGTTGATTATGAGTGTGTGTGTGTTTGTGTGTGTTCAGGTGACCTCCGCAGCTCGCATCCTGTTGAAGAACCCAGGTAACCAGGCGGGCTACGAACACTTTGACACCATGAAGAACCAGTGGATCGACAATGTAGAGAAACTCACTGGTAACACACACACACACACATGCATGCATGCATGCATGCATATGCAACCACACACACACGCACGTGGACACACACCCAAAGGTTTCTGAAGGCTGTGTACTGTATGTTTCACTCTTCCTCATGCCTCTTTGTGTGTGTGTGTGTGTGTGTCTGCGTGCGTGCGTATGTGTCTGTCTGTGTGCTTGCATGCGTGTGTGTGCAGGTCTGGTGGATGAAGCCATAGACACCAAGTCTCTGCTGGATGCGTCTGAGGAAGCAATCAAGAAGGACATCGATAAGTGTCGTGTCGCCATGGCGAATGTACAACCGCAGATGCTAGTTGCCGGGGCGACCAGCATAGCTCGGCGAGCCAATCGCGTACTACTGGTGGCGAAGAGAGAGGTGGAGAACTCAGAGGACCCAAGGTTCAGAAAAGCAGTGAAACGTGCATCAGATATACTCAGCCACACTATATCACCTATGGTTATAGACGCTAAGGCTGTGGCCGGAAATATACAGGACCCAGGTACTTACACGCACGCACACATGCACACATATATGCCTTGTTTCTACCACTTGTATGTACAGAATTTGACTGTAATTCATGCCCCTACTTCTCCCACTCAGCCCTCCAGAAGGCCTTTTTAGATTCTTGCCTCAGAATTCTGGCTGCTGTTGGGAAGGTCAGAGAAGCCTTCAGCCCCCCGGAACCAGACTTCCCCCCTCCACCCCCAGACCTAGACAAGCTACACGTGAGTACAAACACACACACACAGACGCAGTGTTACACAGTTAGACTCTTGAACTGTTTCAGCATCAGACATTGATAATTAAAACAAGAAAAACAATGCTTTCTGACTTCATGCCTCATCTCTCCGTCCATCCAACAGTCTTTCTGTCTGTCCGTGTGTCTGTCTGTCCCCTCCAGGTGAGTGATCAGGAGCAGGCCCCCCCTAAGCCCCCCCTACCAGAGGGAGAGGTGCCCCCACCCCGCCCCCCACCTCCAGAGGAGAAAGAGAGAGACCGAGATGAAGACTTTCCAGAGCAGAAGGCAGGAGAGCTGCTCAGTGAGCCCATGATGGTGGCTGCTAGGCAACTACACGACGAGGCACGCAAGTGGTCCAGCAAGGTCAGCACACACACACACACACACACACTGTACATACATTCACTGCTCTAGTGTTAGGGTGCTAGCCATTAGCTTTAGTGCAGCTGTAAGTATGTGCTAGTGTGTGTGAGTGTGTGTTAGTGCTAGTGTTCATGCAATCAGCATTCATGCATTTCCCAGACAGAAGTAGACCTACTGTATAGGGTTTAGCTGTGCTAGTAGGCCCTACCAGTGGTATTACTGTGGTAATGCAGTCTTAGTACCAGTGGTAATGTAATCTTATTACCAGTGGTAATGTGATTATACAGGGTTTAGAACAGGGTTTTACTGCAACTACTGTATTATGCTCTACAGAGGAAGGGTTGGTTATGACAAATAGGAGACATGTGGAGGGGTTGGGTATGACAGAGGCGGTTCTCTGATGTCCTGTGTGTCTCTACTCTGAGTTGTGCAATAAAGGGATTTCTCCAACACGTCTGTGTTGCTGAAATATGGAGATCTGGGAGCTGATTCAAATTTCAGACGAAAACTGGAAACTGTCATCTGAGAAAGGTGTCTGCATGCTGTGTCTCCAAACTAACCTTCCAACAAGAGTAGGGTTGCAAAATTCCCTTAACTTTCTGATTTCGGGAATCTTCCAAACAGGATTTCTGGAAAACCTGGGAATTTTGGGAAAGTTCCCGGAATTTTTTAACCCTAAACAGGAGGACTAGAACAGAACAGTCTTACAGAGTCTGGACAAAAACACAATTCTCGCTCCTCTGTTAGAGTCAATATTGGTTTGGATTCTGTCAACTACACAACATTGAAACAACTCTTCAATACTTTTGTACCTGTCTGTACCTGTATCTAAATGAACACTGTAGCCCAGGCTGACTCCCTCTCTCCCTGCCACCCTGCCCCAGCTCTCCTCATTGCTACCTGCCTAGCCCAACTCTTTCTTCCCCTCCTCTCTCCTCCCTGATAGAACTGTCTGCCTCTTCTCCTCTCTCTCTTCTTTCCCTTCTCCCCCAGTGGTAGTATCGCTTTTTTCCCTCCCTCCTCTCATTCCTCCTCCTCCCCTGACTGTAGACTTCCTCTTGTCCTTCTCTCCATCCAATGCCTGTCATACAAACGTCCTACTTTCTACATGCTGCCTCCCCACCCCTCTTATCCTCCCTAACCCATCCTCTTCCCTCACCCCTATCCCTCCTACTCCCCTCCCCTCCTCTCCCCACCCACCCCCAGCCTAAGGAAGAGGAGGGTGTAGAGGAGGTAGATGATGAAGACGAGTTTACTGACGGTGAGGATGACTATGAGCCAGAGCTGTTGATGATGCCGTCAAACGGCAATGCCGTAAATCAACCCATCCTTGCCGCAGCCCAGTCACTTCATCAGGAGGCACGCAAGTGGTCCAGCAAGGTATAGGACACGCCCCCAAAGGCCCCTACTGGCCACTGCATCCCCTCTGCACCCAGCTCTGCATCCTGCTGTTGGAAAAGTCACATACTGTTACTATGGGAACATGTAACTTACTGTTACTATGGGAACTTGTAACTTATTGGGACTAAGTTTTCAGAAAGGTGTAGACTACGTCCTGACTGCATCCCATCTGCACCGTTACTATGGAAACCCTCTGCTCTGCATCCTGCTGTAACCATGGGGACATCCAATCAGCTGTGGCTGCTGCATTACTCCTGGACACTTAGTTGACACACAGTTGTGTTTACATTGTGTTGTTGAGGTCTTGATGTTGTGTTGAGGTTATGTTAAGGTTGCCTGTGAGGATTGTTGTTGGAATGGCACCTTTGTTGCACCTGCTGGATAAACTGATACTGGCTTCTCAAGTCCCTCCCTTGGGTAACTAAGTGGTTTAGAGGAGGAGCCAGTCGCTCTGACTCTGCCTCTGTCCAACCTGTGAAGCCAAGGATCACAGTTTCTCAATACTTTCTGGGTGATGTAGTTTCTGGCTGCCTGCTGTTGGTATGATGACACTTCCTGCTTTGCCTGATGATAAATATTAACCTCCCCCTGACCATCATCACATGGTATAACCTATCAGCGCTGAATGTTTTACAGTGTTGTAAAACATTCTAAATAAAGCTCAAGAAAACGATATAACTTTTGGACTAAACTGTTTTCATTACACATGATCGTCAACCATTGAAGATCAATGTCTGAGAACAGAAATGTATGAAAGACTATTAACACAGAGGCATGGAGAAGTGGAACGTGAAACACTGAGTACAAGGAGTACCCCACCCATCCACTATACTAACCCCCTCTTTCCCATTGTCCCTCCCCCCAATCTCCCCCATCACACTAACCCCTATCTCCCCGTCCCCTTCCTCCACAGGGAAATGACATCATAGCGGCGGCCAAGAGGATGGCGTTGCTGATGGCTGAGATGTCCCGGTTGGTTCGCGGCGGTAGCGGTAACAAGCGGGCTATGATCCAGTGTGCTAAAGACATTGCCAAAGCCTCGGATGAGGTCACCAGGCTGGCCAAAGAGGTGGCCAAGCAGTGTACTGACCGACGCATCAGAACCAACCTGCTGCAGGTACACATACACACATGCGCACGCACATACAAACACGTGCCTGCACGCACACACACACACTCACTCAGGGGGTGTAACATACTGTTTATGTGTCCAGGTGTGTGAGCGTATCCCCACCATCAGTACTCAGCTGAAGATCCTGTCAACAGTCAAAGCCACCATGCTGGGACGAACCAACATCAGTGAGGAGGAGTCTGAACAGGTGAGAAAGAGAAAATTAAGAAAAAAAGACGAGTGATATGTACAGTAAATTATTGTAAAAACATATACAGTGCCTTCGGAAAGTGTTCAGACCCCTTTACTTTTTTCACATATTCTTACATTACAGCCTTATTCTAATATGGATTTTAAAAAACAAACAAATCTGCAGCAATCTACACACAATACCTCATAATGACAAAGCGAACACAGGTTTTTAGAAATGTTTGCACATTTATTAAAAATAAAAAACAGAAATACCTTATTTACATAAGTATTCAGACCCTTTGCTATGAGACTCAAAATTGAGCTCAGGTGGATCCTGTTTCCATTGATCATCCTTGAGATGTTTCCACCTGTGGTAAATTTAATTGATTGGACATGATTTGGAAAGGCACACACCTGTCTATATACAGTTGAAGTCGGAAGTTTACATACACTTAGGTTGGAGTAATTAAAACACGTTTTTCAACCACTCCACAAATGTCTTGTTAACAAACTATAGTTTTGGCAAGTCGGTTAGGACATCTACTTTGTGCATGACACAAGTAATTTTTCCAACAATTGTTTACAGACAGATTATTTCACTTATAATTCACTGTATCACAATTCCAGTGGGTCAGAAGTTTACATACACTAAGTTGACTGTGCCTTTAAACAGCTTGGAAAATTCCAGAAAATGATGTCATGGCTTTAGAAGCTTCTGATAGGCTATTTGACATCATTTGAGTCAATTGGAGGTGTACCTGTGGATGTATTTCAAGGCCTACCTTCAAACTCAGTGCCTCTTTGCTTGACATCATAGGAAAATCAAAAGAAATCAGCCAAAATAATTGTAGACCTCCACAAGTCTGGTTCATCCTTGGGAGCAATTTCCAAACTGTTTGGCCATAATGACCATCGTTATGTTTGGAGGAAAAAGGGGGGACTTGCAAGCCGAAGAACACCATCCCAACCATGAAGCACGGGGGTGGCAGCATCATGCTGTGGGGGTGCTTTGCTGCAGGAGGGACTGGTGCACTTCACAAAATAGATGTCATCATAAGGAAGGAAAATTATGTGGATACAGTGAGGGGGAAAAAGTATTTGATATCCTGCTGATTTTGTATGTTTGCCCACTGACAAAGAAATGATCAGTCTATAATTTTAATGGTAGGTTTATTTGAACAGTGAGAGACAGAATAACAACAAAAAAATCCAGAAAAACGCATGTAAAAAATGTTATCAATTGATTTGCATTTTAATGAGGGAAATAAGTATTTGACCCCTCTGCAAAACATGACTTAGTACTTGGTGGCAAAACCCTTGTTGGCAATCACAGAGGTCAGACATTTCTTGTAGTTGGCCACCAGGTTTGTACACATCTCAGGAGGGATTTTGTTCCACTCCTCTTTGCAGATCTTCTCCAAGTCATTAAGGTTTCGAGGCTGACGTTTGGCAACTCAAACCTTCAGCTCCCTCCACAGATTTTCTATGGGATTAAGGTCTGGAGACTGGCTAAGCCACTCCAGGACCTTAATGTTCTCCTTCTAGAGCCACTCCTTTGTTGCCTTGGCCGTGTGTTTTGGGTCATTGTCATGCTGGAATACCCATCCATGACCCATTTTCAATGCCCTGGCTGAGGGAAGGAGGTTCTCACCCAAGATTTGACGGTACATGGCCCCGTCCATCGTCCCTTTGATGCGGTGAAGTTGTCCTGTCCCCTTAGCAGAAAAACACCCCCAAAGCATATTGTTTCCACCTCCATGTTTGATGGTGGGGATGGTGTTCTTGGGGTCATAGGCAGCATTCCTCCTCCTCCAAACACGGCGAGTTGAGTTGATGCCAAAGAGCTTGATTTTGGTCTCATCTGACCACAACACTTTCACCCAGTTCTCCTCTGAATCATTCAGATGTTCATTGGCAAACTTCAGACTGGCATGTATATGTGCTTTCTTGAGCAGGGGGACCTTGCGGGCGCTGCAGGATTTCAGTCCTTCACGGCATAGTGTGTTACCAATTGTTTTCTTGGTTACTATGTTCCCAGCTGCCTTGAGATCATTGACAAGATCCTCCCGTGTAGTTCTGGGCTGATTCCTCACCGTTCTCATGATCATTGCAACTCCACGAGGTGAGATCTTGTATGGAGCCCCAGGCCGAGGGAGATTGACAGTCTTTTGTGTTTCTTCCATTTGCGAATAATCGCACAAACTGTTGTCACCTTCTCACCAAGCTGCTTCGCGATGGTCTTGTAGCCCATTCCAGCCTTGTGTAGGTCTACAATCTTGTCCCTGACATCCTTGGAGACTCTTTGGTCTTGGCCATGGTGGAGAGTTTGGAATCTGATTGATTGATTGCGTCTGTGGACAGGTGTCTTTTATACAGGTATCAAGCTGAGATTAGGAGCACTCCCTTTAAGAGTGTGCTCCTAATCTCAGCTTGTTACCTGTGTAAAAGACACCTGGGAGCCAGAAATCTTTCTGATTGAGAGGGGGTCAAATACTTATTTCCCTCATTAAAATGCAAATCAATTTATAACATTTTTGACATGCGTTTTTCTGGATTCTTTTGTTGTTATTCTGTCTCTCACTGTTCAAATAAACCTACCATTAAAATTATAGACTGATCATTTCTTTGTCAGTGGGCAAACATACAAAATCAGCAGGGGATCAAATACTTTTTTCCCTCACTGTATATTGAAGCAACATATCAAGACATCAGTCAGGAAGTTAAAGCTTGGTCGCAAATGGGTCTTCCAAATGGACAATGACCCCAAGCATACTTCCAAAGTTGTAGCAAAATGGCTTAAGGACAACAAAGTCAAGGTATTGGAGTGGCCATCACAAAGCCCTGACCTCAATCCTATAGAACATTTGTGGGCAGAACTGAAAAAGTGTGTGCGAGCAAGGAGGCCTACAAACCTGACTCAGTTACACCAGCTCTGTCAGGAGGAATGGGCCAGAATTCACCCAACTTATTGTGGGAAGCTTGTGGAAGGCTACTCGAAACGTTTGACTGAAGTTAAACAATTTAAAGGCAATGCTACCAAATACTAATTGACCCATTGGGAATTTGATGAAATAAATAAAAGCTTAAATAAATCATTCTATCTGCTATTATTCTGACATTTCACATTCTTAAAATAAAGTTGTAATCCTAACTGACCTAAGACAGGGACTTTTTACTAGGATTAAATGTCAGTAATTGTGAAAAGTTGAGTTTAAATGTATTTGGCTAAGGTGTATGTACATTTCCGACTTCAACTGTAAGGTTCCACAGTTGACAGTGCATGACAAAGCAAAAACCAAGCCATGATGTCGAAGGAATTGTCCGTAGAGCTCCAAGAGGATTGTGTCGAGGCACAGATCTGGGGAAGGGTACCAAAACAGTTCTGCAGCATTGAAGGTCCCCAAGAACACAGTGCCCTCCATCATTCTTAAATGGAAGAAGTTTGGAACCACCAAGACTCTTCCTAGAGCTGGCCGCCCAGCCAAACTGAGTAATCGGGGGAGAAGGGCCTTGGTCAGGGAGGTGACCAAGAACCCAATGGTCACTCTGACAGAGCTCTAGAGTTCCTCTGTGGAGATGGGAGAACCTTCCAGAAGGACAACCATCTCTGCAGCACTCCACCAATCAGGCCTTTATGGTAGAGTGGCCAGACGGAAGTCACTCCTCAGTAAAAGGCACATGACAGCCCGCTTGGAGTTTGCCAAAAGGCACCTAAAGACTCTCAGTCCATGAGAAACAAGATTCTCTGGTCTGATGAAACCAAGATTAAACTCTTTGACCTGAATGCCAAGCATCACGTGTGGAGGAAACCTGGCACCATCCCTACAGTGAAGAATGGTGGTGGCAGCATCATGCTGTGGGGATGTTTTTCAGCGGCAGGGACTGGGAGTCAGGATCGAGGCAAAGATGAACGGAGCAAAGTACAGAGAGACCCTTGACGAAAACCTGCTCCAGAGCGCTCAGGACCTCAGACTGGGGAGAAGGTTCACCTTACAACAGGACAACAATCCTAAGCACACAGCCAAGACAATGCAGGAGTGGCTTCGGGACAAGTCTCTGAATGTCCTTGAGTGGCCCAGCCAAAGCACAGACTTGAACTCGATCTAACATCTCTGGAGAGACCTGAAAATATCTGTGCAGCAATGCTCCCCATCCAACCTGACAGAGCTTGAGAGGATCTGCAGAGAAGAATGGAAGAAACTCCCCAAATACAGGTCTGCCAAGCTTATAGTGTCATACTCGAGACGACTCGAGGCTGTAATCGCTGCCAAAGATGCTTCAACAAAGTATTGAGTAAAGGGTCTTAATACTTATGTAAATGTGACATCTGTTTTTTAATTCTAATAAATTAGCAAACATTTCTAAAAAAAAATATATGTTTTGTCATTATAGGGTATTGTGTGTGGTTGATGATATTTTTATTTTATTTAAATCAATTTTAGAATATGGCTGTAACCTAACAAAATGTGGGAAAAGTCAAGGGGTCTGAATACTTTTCGAAGGCACTGTATATATCTTCAACCCTGTTTCAACTCCCTTGCTCCCCAAAGTCTACAGTGTTTAACCTGTATCTCGCTCTCCCTCCAATCCATCCAGGCTACAGAGATGCTGGTCCATAATGCCCAGAACCTGATGCAGTCAGTCAAGGAGACGGTGAGAGAGGCCGAGGCTGCTTCCATCAAGATCCGCACCGATGCAGGCTTCACCCTGCGCTGGGTACGCAAGACCCCCTGGTACCAGTAACACACACTGGTGGCAACACACACACACACACACACACAAACAGGTGTAGTTTTACGGCATACTCTGTATGTGTAGTTAGTAGAGTACAGCTAACAACTTCCCTGTTTAAATAAGCTTGAGTTGTTAGCTCCAAAGTTCAATTTATCCGTTACCATGGTATTATGTAGGACGACAGCTTTAATATATATTTTTGGGATGTTGGGTTTCAAGGGTTTATCCAAAATCCAAGTATATATTTTTTTGCATGAAGAGGTTTTCTATTTTCTAACCATGGTGACTTTTTTACCTGTCCCATTCTAAATTAATGTCAGAGTTCACAGAAGTTTACTTTTTATCTAGTCTGAGCTGTTGGGGTTTCTTATTTTTACATATATTTAATTTTGTTTAATGGCTGACAGCACTGTTGGAAGTGTTTTAGCCACCCGAGTATCACTCCTTTATGTTTACTGAGTGGTGGAACCACTGGTCTTAACAGGACACTGACATTAAGGCCAGGAAACACCATAACCAACGTCGGCTGTGCGCAGCAGACGGTCGTCCTAATGCTTCAAAACATCGCTTATTTTATTCTACATGCTGAATCACCACAATTCATCAACACCCAGCAGGTGATCAATCTACTGCGCACCACCGATGTTTGTTATGGTTTGTTATCTTATTGCTTTTTCTGAGATTTATCTAACAGGAGATATGTATTACACAGCAGTGCTTGAAGTGGAATAAAAAGCTGGTGTTGGGGTTTGTATTTTAGAGCTGGTATTTTATAAGTAGTGACAGTATATTCAGGTAGAAGAAAAGGAGAGGTGCTAGTTCTCTGAAGCGGTCAGTTCTGGCCCACTTCAACCACTGGTACATAATGTGTGCGTCCTAAATGGCACCCTATTCCCTATATAGTGCACTACTTTTGACCACAGCCCTATGGGCCCTGATAAAAAGTAGAGCACTACATAGGGAATAGCATGTGACGTACACAGGGACAGCTTTGTTAGTATGATGGTATGATGTTAGTATGATATGAAGTGAGTGATATGCTATTTATTGACTTATGGAGGCTGTCAAGCTGGCGTGTGGGTTGGTGCTCAAGGGATGTTTCCTGTGTTTTTACTGAATTTTATTTGACATGATGTCACAAACAACGCCAAAGACTTTGTTTTACGGCACTGTATATGAACATACACTATATATACAAAAATATGTGGACACCCCTTCAAATTAGTGGGTTCGGCTATTTCAGCCACACCCGTTGCTGACAGGTGTATAAAATCGAGCACACAGCCATGCAATCTCCGTAGACAAACATTGGCAGTAGAATGGCCTTACTGAAGAGCTCAGTGACTTTGAACGTGGCACCGTCATAGGATGCCACCTTTCCAACAAGTCAGTTCATCAAATTTCTGCCCTGCTAGAGCTGCCAGGGTCAACTGTAAGTGCTGTTATTGTGAAGTGGAAACGTCTAGGAGCAACTAAGGCTCAACCACGAAGTGGTAGGCCACACAAGCTCACAGAACGGTAACGCCGAGTGCTGAAGTGCTTAAAAATCGTCAACACACTACCGATTTCCAAACTTCCTCTGGAAGCAACATCAGCACAAGAACTGTTAGTCAGGAGCTTAATGAAATGTGTTTCCATGGCCGAGCAGCCGCACTCAAGCCTAAGATCACCATGTGCAATGCCAAGCGTCGGCTGGAGTGGTGTAAAGCTCGCCGCCATTGGACTCTGGAGCAGTGGAAACGCGTTCTCTGGAGTGATGAATCACGCTTCACCATCTGGCAGTCCGACGGACAAATCTGGGTTTGGCGGATGCCAGGAAAACGCTACATGCCCCAATGCATAGTGCCAACTGTAAAGTTTGGTGGAGGAGGAATAATGGTCTGGGGCTGTTTTTCATGGTTCGGGCTAGGCCCCTTAGTTCCAGTGAAGGGAAATCTTAACGTTACCGAATTCAATGATATTCTTGACGATTCTGTGCTTCCAATTTTGTGGCAACAGTTTGGAGAAGGCCCTTTCCTGTTTCAGCATGACAATTCCCCCATGCACAAAGTGAGGTCCATACAGAAATGGTTTGTTGAGATCGGTGTGGAAGAACTTGACTGGTCTGCACAGAGCCCTGACCTCAACCCCGTTGAACACCTTTGGGAAGAATTGGAACTCCGACTGCGAGCCAGGCCTAATCGCTCAACATCAGTGCCTGACCTCACTAATGCTCTTGTGGCTGAATTGAAGCAAGTCCCCGCAGCAATGTTCCAACATCTAGTGGAAAGCCTTCCCAGAAGAGTGGCGGCTGTTATAGCAGCAAAGGGGGGACCAACTCCATATTAATGCCCATGATTTTGGAATGAGATGTTCGACGAGCAGGTGTCCACATACTCTTGGTCATGTAGTGTATGATATGACAACCTTAAAAGCACAATTAATGCAGATGTAAAGATCAAGTTAGAAAACACTGAATGTACTCGAGTTTAGAAGAACCTTGTTTTCTGGAGTTCAACAATGAAATAAGATTGTTTTGCAGTGTGATTGTGATAATGATTTAGATGATTATTTTCTGTATGATCCATGTAACAGTTGAACTGTTACTTTGGTACTTTTTCATGAGTGAACGCTAAAGCCAATCCTTACAGTTACACATCCCGTCCACCTTCTCTATCAGTGTGAGTGTGTTTATTTGTCTGTGATATGGGTTTATGTGTGTGTGTGTGTGTGTTTGCGTGCGTGCATGCGATTATTGGTATTAAGATGTAATGGTTAAGGCTGGTAAAGCACCACAGTACTGATTAGGGTAAAATAGCCTACTAGTTGGGTTTAAGGCTGGCAATACTATGGTTTATGCTGGTACAGTCCAGGTGGCTGTTCTAGAAATTTTGAATTTTATTTTTAGCCAGCTAACTTTCCAAAATTGCTTGAAATAACTTCATGTTTTTGAGAAATGTGACTGTTTATCAAAGTTTGCTGGCTAACTTGATAATCTCACTTTCTGGAATACCCCACTGTGCCTCCTGTCTGTTAACAAGCTTTATTTATGTTATTATGGTTACATATCGAGCATGTAGTCACTGAGCCCCCTGACCATGTTTAGGTGCAGTGTTAGGGTGTGTGCACACGGTTGGTGTGTGTGTAGGGTTAGGGTGTGTGTTCTGTGAATGTACGTATAAAACACTGCCAACACATAAATTGTGCCTTGGAATAATAAAGAAAACAAAACATTAAAATATCTATTGTCTTTCATTTATATATTACATCTACAGTGCCTTCAGAAAGTATTCACATCCCTTGACTTTTTCCACATTCTGTTGTGTTTTAATTTTAAATGGATTTTAAAAAATGTTTTGTCACTGGCATACACACAATACCCCATAATGTCAAGGAGGAATTACAGTGAGCTCCAAAAGTATTGGGACAGGGACCATTTTGTTGTTATTTTGGTGCTGTACTCCAGCACTTTGAATTTGAAATGATACAATTACTATGGAGGTTATAGTGCAGACTGTCAGCTTTCATTTGAGGGTATTTTCATCCATATCAGGTGAACCGCTTACAAAATACAGCACTTTTTGTACATTGTCCCCCAATTTTTGGGGACCAAAAGTATTGGGGCAAATTCACTTATGTGTATTCAAGTAGTAATTAATGTGGATGCTATGTGTATTAAAGTAGTAAAAAGTTAAGTATACTGAACAAAAATATAAACACAACATGTAAAGTGTTGGTCCCATGTTTCATGAGCTGAAATAAAACATCCCAGAAATTGTCCAGCTTATTTCTCTCAAATGTTGTGCACAAATTTGTTTACGTCCCTGTTAGTGAGCATTTCTACTTTGCCAGGATAATCCATCCACCTGACAGGTGTGGCATATCAACAAGCTGATTAAACTGCATGATCATTACATAGGTGCACCTTGTGCTGGGGACAATAAAAGGCCACTCTAAAATGTGCAGTTTTGTCACAGAACACAATGCCACAGATGTCTCAAGTTTTGAAGGAGCGTGCAATTGGCATGCTGACTTCATGAATGTCCACCAGAGCTGTTGCCAGAGAATGTAATGTTCATTTCTCTACCATAAGCCGCCTCCAACGTCGTTTTAGAGAATTTGGCTGTACGTCCAACTGGCCTCACAACCGCAGACCACGTGTAACAATGCCAGCCCAGAACCTCCACATCCGGCTTCTTCACCTGCGGGATCGTCTGAGACCAGCCACCTGGAGAGCTGATGAAACTGTGGGTTTGCACAACTGAATAATTACTGCACAAACTGTCAGAAACCATCTCAGGGAAGCACATCTGCATGCTCGTCATCCTCACCAAGGTCTTGACCTGACCTCAGTTCGGCGTTGTAACCGACTTCAGTGGGCAAATGCTCACCTTCGATGGCCACAGGCACGCTGGAGGAGTCTGTACCGGGCAGATGGCCGACAGAGTGTATGGCGTAGTATGGGCGAGCAGTTTGCTGGTCAACGTTGTGAACAGATTACCCCATGGTGGCAGTGGGGTTATGGTATGGGCAGGCATAAGCTACGGACAATGAACACAATTGCATTTTATCTATGGCAATTTGAATGCACAGAGACACCGTGACGAGATCCTGAGGCCCATTGTTGTGCCATTCATCCGCTGCCAACACCTCGTTTCAGCATGATAATACATGGCCCCATGTAGCAAGGATCTGTACACAATTCCTGGAAGCTGAAAATCCCAGTCCCAGTTCTTCTATGGCCTGCATACTCACCAGACATGTCACCCATTGAGCATGTTTGGGATGCTCTGGTTCGACGTGTAAGACAGCGTGTTCCAGTCCCGCCAATATCCAGCAACTTCACACAGCCATTGAAGAGGAGTGGGACAACATTCCACAGGCCATAATCAACAGCCTGATCAACTCTATGCGAAGGAGATGTCGCGCTGCATGAGGCAAATGGTGGTCACAACAGATACTGAATGGTTTTCTGATCCACGCCCCAACAATTTTTTTTAAGGTATCTGTGACCAAGAGATGCATATCCG